TGTACTTGGAGCAGCAGAAAAAAAGTGTAAACTTATATAAATATATTACTAGATGACTGCAGAGAAGTATATCCTCGACAGTCCCCAGACACACATAGAGTATGATTTATATATATTTATTTACTTATGAAAATTTATAAGGCTAGCTATTTGAATTTATTGTCGGGTCAGCTTTTTAAAGCATTCTTCAAAATGTCGCCGTTTTGCAATTTTTTCACACCGCAGCCACGCTTCTCATTAAAGTTCATTAGTCTCGCTGGGTTTTGTTGCGGTTTGGAGGGAGTAAATATATATATTATATACATGGTATACTGTGTAAATAATTTAAAAAGTTGTGATTAATTGTGGACTGTCATGCAGGCCCTGTTCTGCTTAAGTAGGCATACATTGTTGAGACCTCGCCGGAGGAGTTGGTTTGCGAGGACACAAAAATGTGCCTGACAAAACTCGCCAACTTTATCAAACTAAGCGCTGGCCCATATATAATGGGCAAACGGAGAAACCCTTATTACAGTGCTTATTACAAGAATTCATTCATGAATTTAACTCAAAATTTAATCATAAATTCAAATATTTATGCAGCGATAACTCGTGAATTGCAGCGACACTAAAAAATAAACAGCAACCTTAAAGTGCTTATTAAACAACCTTTTATGGTATAATAATAGAAATAATTATATACAAATTATTCAATTGAATATTATTAAGCAGTTATGAATGATCGTCTCTGTACATAGCATATTAACATATTTAATCGAATAAAATATTTAATATTTGTACGTTTTGTATGGTACTAAAAGATGTCTGCCACAGTTTTTTTTTATTTCTACACTCAGAAAAAAACAATTACCCTTAGTTTTGATGGATTTCTAAATATATGTGAAATCCTAAAAAACTTATGTGTAATCATAAAATAAGAATAAAAAAAGTCGAATGTAAGAATTATCTATACAGACATAAAGATATATTTTGAATATTATTCTGAATATTAGAAAAAAGTACCCTGAATTTAAGAAAAGAAAACCTCTAAGTTTTTTAAATATACTTTCTGATTAATTATCTGAATTACCCATGGCAATTTTCTAAAATACAGTGCGTTGTTTTTCTGAGTGTAGCATTAAGCCCGTAAATGTCGGCTGCAATTAAATTATGAATTTGGCTGACGTAGCATGACTTAACCAAGGCAATGGTTGCCAGGCGCAGAGTCTAATTAGATCCAGGCAAACAGCAAGAGCCTGATAATCTAATATCTGCAGCCGCTCGAGTTAACTTGGCTGTCGGCACAAACAGCAGATAAGCCAATTCGCACAACTGCCACAATTTATGCCCCTTGCTTTTGTGTCTATAGCAGGAGGGCTGATTAGGGCATCTAGTTTAATATCTAGTTTAATGATGCAAGTACCGTTGTCTCATCCTCCTCCTCATCCTCATCCTCATCCTCATCCTCATCCTCGTCCTCATCATCATCGTCATCGTCATCATCGTTATCCTCATCATCGTCATTGTCGGCAGCTGCGTTTCGCATTTCATCGCTTCGCGTCGCCGCTGGCTGTGTTGCCAGCTTTTCGATACTGCTGCCAATGCCGGTGGTGGAGCCGTTGTTGCAGCTGTTGTTGGTCAGATTACCGAGCAGACCCTGACCATGACCAATGCCAACATTGGTTTTATTACCGCTGCCATCGCCGCCATTGCTAATGTTCGTGGGCATAGTGGAAAGGGTCCGCCGGCAAGCGGATGCGGAAGCGCGCCTTTTTACCCCGCTAAATTGTCAATTATAGGCGGCATTTCATTCAAATGGCAGCACTTTCACTTTCACTTTCGCAGCAGCTAACACAACACCCGAACACACACACACACACACATGCCAGCCAGTACTGGCCACAGCTGTGGCTATCAAAATATTTATGCGCTTTTGATTTGCGTTCTTATGTCTCAAGTGTTTAAGCGAACTTAATACATCAATTCATCCGAATTATTCGAATTTTATATATGTGCAAAGTTGATTGTATTTTCAAAATACAAATATATATATATATATATATAGATATATTTATATATATAACTCGCACAATGCTACATATGCTTAATATTTGTTTTCAGCAAGCATGCGCCGCTTAGCCTAAATATTTTTAAGCAGAATTTTGTATTTAGCTATTTTAATATTTTATAATTGCACAGTTTGTTGTTTCATCAATTTGACAGAATATTTTAGACACTTTTCACATTTTCAAGCTTGTCTCTTGATGGCAGGGCATGCAAACAAATATTTTTTCTTTATCAAATATTTATTTTTTAATAAATTTGACATTTTTGAAGCTTTTTTCACATTTGAAAAATCAGGCCATGCCTGTGCTGGGCTCCGAAACGTTTTAAGCATTTGATGTTAATAAAATTTGTGAAAATGGCAGCGTCCGCTTTTCACAAAATTGTCGACTCGTGCTGCCGTTCGCCCAACGCGCAACTGATTTCCCGAAATGTGGCTAAAAGCTCAGGATCCCGTAACGAGCCAACTTCGAACTTCGGCATTTTTCCTGGCACTTTTCCCGAAGACGAGGCGCAAAAGCGAAAGCTTTTCCACGCATAAACAGACACAGACAAACACAACGCACACTCCGACTTTGACTTTGGCTCCATTCATGACCAGGGTTTCAACTTGGCCCCCAAAAAAAAAAAACAGAAGTTATGTGCGGGGTTTTTCACTCTCGTTGCACGATGTTGATGCTTTGAAGTTTCGCACACACAGCTGTTGTGGACAACCCACTCGGGAAACTTAACTGTGCCCACTTGCCCCGTGCTGTCTGCTGTGTTCATTTTCTGATTTGTTTTTGCAATAGTTTTGTTGTTGATTAACTCTTGGCAAATTATTTATATTGTTTGCCTAAATGCAAATTACGTTTCGTGCATGGCTACAATTTCATTTGTTATAGACTACACAAAGAAGGAAACCCCATCAAAAAGTGGCCCCCTAACAGAGTTCAACAATTTGCAAACAATTTGCAAATACCAAGCCCCAAACAAATTGCTAAATTGCTGACGCACGTGTCACCAGGTGCAATGCGCCAATAAACAATGAATTGAATTTGTTTTTTTCCCCCCATTTTTTGGTACAACTCGAATTATAACTTACAGCAGTGTAATAAAAATAAACAAAGGAATAAACAACCATTGCATAACAAAGACCGTAAACTATAATCCTCAAAGGCAATTCACGGCCATCTTTCAAATCGACATCAAGAGTATTACATGAATTTTATTTAAGAGAAAATTGTAAGGTTTGTTTGTAAATCTCAGGATCTACACTTTAATCCGTAAAGCAACGCAGCTCAAGGGAAATTATAATTGGAAAAACTCTGTTGACATCAGCGCCAAATTGAAAATGGTTGTTAAGCAGCTCGAGGCAATTTAAAGAAACTTCACCAAAAGTTAAGCAACAAACTTTAAAGGGAACTGAAGACAAACGCCAAGAAATAATAATAATAAGGAAATCTTAGAGCTTGGTCAATATGCTTATAGGCTTATAAGATAATAGTATAACTATATAAGAACATGAAACTCCATTCCTGACCACAGTTGATTAATACATCAAATGTAATATATTAAACAAAGGTTGATATAATTCTCTAGCAATGCTATATTATCAATAATTAATAAATTAATTCATCACCTCAAGCCTAATGCAAAATTCATAAATGAAGTCCCGTCAGCCTCCTTCGATTACCCATCTAATTTGAATGATTTATTTATTAAGACATTCAATACTGTGATTTAATTTAGTAGAATGCGCTGCGCTTGTTCTTTTTGTTGTTTTTTTTTATTTATTTATCGTTGAATTATTTATTTACAAATCTAATTCACTAGCTCAGTCTCAGGTGCTAATAAGTTTTTGAACAACAACTTCAGTTAGATACGAAAAGTTTGCCTCTGCCACGTGCAGAACGCAAATTAGATTACGCATACGACACGTGCCACCGAAACTTGTTTACGAGTTGAGTACAATAAAATGTAAACAGCGCAAAAAATTGAAAAGAAAATGAAAACTCAAACGAAATCATGTAAAACAAGTTTCAAACAATTTAATTTGCGTACATCTTGTGATATTGTGTCTTAAAGTTGTGGTGAAAAAACCAAAACGGTTGTAATTAAATTTGTAGCCTGCGTGTGTTAATGTCCTGCCTTCGTCCTCAATCATATGCGTGGATTTAATTCTATTCTATTCTAGTATGCTATGCAAATTGCCGCTGCAATTAGAGACACGCAAGGCGCCTCATTCCTTCAGGCTGATGTAAAACTTTGTGGATACTTGTGGCCTTCGAAAATCTTGCTCGATTTGATGATTCAAGTTTAGTCATAAACTGCAGCCATAATAAAATAAGTTGCAGTAATAAATAAATCCACGGCAATTAAACTCTGAAGGGCAAATAGGAAACTTGATAAACGTTGAAGGGGCGACCTTCTTTTCTAGTCGACGCCATTATCTGGCATACTAAAAGCTTTTCAGCTATGCTTTCTCTTAATTTCATTTGTTTTTTATGAGAAACACACTTTTTAGTGCTGTCTTCAAGTATATTGTTTATTCTATGTAAATTTCATAAAAATAAACCTAGCGGAATCGAAATTTATGAATGAGATATTTTTTAACTATCGATTTGGTTGCATCTCGACAAACAAAAACAATTTAGATTTTAGATTTTTGGATATACATATATTATGTGTTTAAAATGATTACTAGCCGTTTTCTATATTGTTTATTGGTATTTGTTTTGTTTGTGTTTATAATGAATAATGCAAAAAACCAAATGTTTTCCATTGTATATAGTTAGTGGGCTCAACGACCTGCACTTCAACACATCAACTAATTACACATATATTAAAATAATTATGGGCTGATTTGTACTCTCCCAATAATTGATAAAGCTACACTCTCCACTTTATTCATTTGAATACAGTTGAAACCCGGACGTAGCAGCTTAAAATTACATTTATGGACTATAACGAATCACCTGCACTTTAAGCATCGTAATCTTGATCTCTACTCGGTCGCGTGGCGAGCTGCTGACACGTGTAGGAGACTGTGATGGAGGCTGAAACGGAGACGGAGACAGCACTACCAGCTGTTTATATTGATTTTGGTTGGCTTTTGCGGCAGTTGCAGTACACTCGTGCGGCAGCCCCTCCTCCCGCACCTCAGCCTCCTTTGCCGTTGCCATTTCACGTTCGGGATTGCACTTAGTCAAGATTAGACTGGCATCGGGATGAATAAAACTCATTGTGTTGTACAACTCCGATTGTTTATTAATCAAACTTCCACTCTTAAGTGTTTTTGCCCGTATTCAACAACTGTTGATTGTGTAATTTGTAGGTGTTTCATGCACTTTATATAATCGTAGAAAAACTTGCTCTTTTTATAAGCAAGTCAACACTACGTGCAACACATTTTTGATCGCTGCACAGTATGCAAAGTGTCTGCAAACGTAATTTATTTGATTTATAATCAAAGAGTACGAGAGCAAAAGAACAACCGAAGAGCCGAAGAATGCTCTCGGCGCACTGAGACGCACTGAGGCCGAGGTAAGGGCCATCACTGCTTGTGGTGGTTGGTGGTGCTGTGGCTACTGCTGTGGCTGCTGATGAGTGGCAAAGTGTCTAGATTTCCGCCTGTGGCGCTCCGAGCACACTAATATGGATATTTATAGCTGAACGTTCAACAACATTCAACAATATGCTGCCCAAATGATCATTATGCATGCTGCACTCGACTGCAATTTCCGTACGCAAAGTCAAGTTCAAGTTTACTTGCTTGGCTAGCAAGATCAACATCAATGCAACATAAGAGAAAGAAGGAGAGAGACAGATAGAGAGAGAGAGCATCGCTCGAGTGTTGTAGTCGATAGTATGTTGGTTCCTTGCCGCTGGTTGCCAAAACAACACACACATTCAATTTGCGGTATTGTACATATTACGTCTGCGCTTGTTCAGTGCCAAAAATGACCAAAAACAAAAGAAGAACAGCTAAGAATGATGTAGTCGACTACGGGATGCCCTGTACCCTGTAGCTGTTGAATATACTCTAGTTTTATTGCCAACATATCACTCTAAGAAGAAGAAGAAGAGTATAAAATAACTAAGGCAGCGAATTCAGATATGACTCAATACTTGATCTGTGCTGGGTACACGAGTACCTATAATTTTCACATAGGAAGTCTCAAGCTTTAATAGCCTCTGAGATCCGCCTTTCTATACAGTTGATCCTGATCATGAATATATATACTATACTCGGTGTTGCTGCCTTCTGTCGTTCTGTCCCTTGCACAAAATCCTTATACCCTTTTTACACATGTTTAATGGGCTCAGGGTATAAAAACGCTCATACGCCGTGTCAGCCAACATTTCTTTACTCGCGTTTCTCATTTCGTTTCGCTTCATTTCGTTTGCTTAAGTGTTTTATTATTATTCTATTTTTTTTTTGTGCTTGCTGTTTAGGCTTTTGTGGTTTTTTCCTTTTAATGTTGCTTTCGTTCAAGTGTCAGTCGGCGTTGTTTGTTTAGTATTGCACGACAAGCATTTATTTGTTTTAATTCTAATATTTGTTGTTGTGCTTTTTGCCTTTTTACAATTATCACACTCATCGGCACAAGCCAAAGCTTTATCTAGCAACAGACAGTGATACATATATATACATATATAAATAAATATATATATATATATATATATATATATATATATATATGTATTTATGATGTGCTTAACACGTTCTTTGCATCACGTTTGACACTTGTGTTTGTTCAAGCAATTAGCTCGGTTTTAAGATTTTTACTGCGATCAAATAATTGGCACTTTATTAATAAAGTTTATTTAGTGCAATAACCTAACTGGAAATATTCCATTTCTTTTTCAATTTTGATTGATTACTCTTATCGTATTACCAGTCCTTATTTCATTTTTTGCTCATTATTGCCCAATGGGTTTACCATATATCTCATGATTATCTCACGACTTCAAGAATTGCCTTGTATATCCTTTATTTTCGTCTTTTTTACAATTACTATTTATTTTGCATACTAATAAATTTAGTATCCATACTGAATTTATATTTATTGCAAATTGTATCCTCTCTGAATATTACACTCCAATTGATTAATTAATTACTTAGTCAATCAATTTAATTTACGCTTTAAAATTTCATGTTTTTAAGTTTTCAATATTTAACATCGTCATCAACGATTGATTTTAATGTATACACTCTTAGATGAGAGTTTGATGCACTAAGTTAGTCAGGCATGAACACATGAATTTCCCACAAATCTGATTTAATATTCCATTTGCTAATTTACATTGAATTATGCATCGATAATATACTTATATCTATATTTGTTTTCTCTTTTGTTTTTTGCTATATCATAATTTGCATACAGGTAAAGCTAAATAGGCACGATAACAACAACAAGAACAACAACAAAAACACAACAAAGTAAAAAATAAAAAACAACTAACCCATTTTCCGCATAAATCCCATAATACGTAATTGAATATACACACACCTACTTATTTTGCACCAATGAATCTTATGCTGCTCTAAAATAGTTTCCATCACTGCAATTAGTCATTAATTAAAGCAAAGCCAACAGCAAAATAAAGCATGGATTTTGTTATTGAGTGAAAAGCCACTGCTCGGGAGTAAAAATCTTGAATATGACGTAGGCGTATTTAGCTCTGTTATCCATAACTCATTTTAATTGCTAGGCTTCATTATAGATGCTGAACTGTGGGGAAATTTCAAAACCGGCTTAATACAAATACTAAATACTTGGTTCAATTGAATGCTTGGTGTGCTTTCTGTGGCCAGCATTTGCTTAAACTGTTCCCAATCTGTTAAGTATTCCATCAGTTTTTATATATATCGTATATATATAGTATATATCAGTCTGATCTCGTATCATTTCGTGCACAAGTACAATCAACAACAACAACAAATATTTCTTTTAATTCTTTTAATGCATAATTCATTGATCGGCGTCATGTGCAAATCGCGCGACGCTATATAAATAATATATGTATATATTTGTATATTTGTATATTCCCCCAAAGCCTGTGGTTTCCCACAGACAGCGCTCCAATAATTATGGAAGATTTTATTGCTGCCAGGCCTGACTAGCTGTACACAATTGCAGATATACATTGTACTTAGGTAACAATTATAAATGCAATAAACCACAAAATTAATGGCTTTTTAATCAATGTATTACAAAAAATCGTGAAATTCGATTTTTTACTGACAAATACGCAATATTAATCAACAATTATTGCGTTACATTTACTGGGCAACAATTGTCAATTAACTAACGATGATTTCTAAAAAGTTGAACTTTACTTTTGGGATTTTCCTTGTAAGATATGAAATCATATCTGAAATACTTAATGCACTTAACCTATACGCAATATTAGTGAGGGATTTTATATTATGATTAACCGTATTCATATTTAAAATTGTGATGTTAAAAATCAATAATAATTATGAGATGTCCCATCTTAAATTGTTAAATCACTTACCTACTTGTTATGTGAGTATCACTGTTATCCAGTCAGGATCAGTTTGCTATTCTTGGTATCATATTCATTTGCACTGGGTTAAGCACTACAAATCACTGATTAAGGATTATTCCTTTACACTTATTCTATGCGTGAGATTTGAACTCTTCTTTGACCATCGATTTTGAAACGAAGTCCGTTCGCAGCGAGCATAAAACGGATACTGATCGCAATATCGATTCACAGGTTTTCTTCACACTTCATCTAAGGTGCCAAAACTGAGGCTCTAGTAGTTTCTACACTCACTCACACACTCACACACTCGCACAACACTGTCGCCAACTGGCTTCAAAAGAAATATAAATATATATATATATATATTAATATATATATTTGTGCATATGATAACTGTATATAAATATTAAGCAAATATTTATGTTAATAAACAGCAAATTAAAAGAACTGCGATCTGTGATCGCAGATCAACGAAAACAGCGCGCTTGTTTGCTTTAAGAATTTAGCGCTTGTTGCGAAATGGAAACCGTTTTCGAAACTGATCTCAACTCACGGACTGAGGTCGCGAGCCAACCGACACCCAGAACAGAAGCGCCAGCAGAAAAAAAAAAACAAAAAACAACAACAGAGCTAGACAATCGGCAAATCAACGAGTAGCGTTTGCACGATCTGTTTTAGCCGATGGCGTCAATGACGCAGACTGCTGCCAATAGCCGAACGACAGAGCTCGGTCGATTCGCTTTTCCCACTCGGCCAGCCGATGGAACACGAAGCAGATGCATGGATGCTTTAGCCGGTTAACGAGCTTGGAAATTTTATTGCACGCGCCGCGCATGTTTCGCTAATTTGCACATGTTCGGATCGGATCGGATCGAGGTATTTGGTTAGTATCGTTTAGTTAAACCAATCATTTTCCTGATTGACTGTAACATATTATCCGGTTTGGTTCGTTTGTCTTCTTCTAGCACACCCATCTGTTTGGCTTTCTTTTTGTTCTCTATCTAGTCTCACATCGTACGATGCATTCGATTAACATTCATTTACTAACTTACTAATTAAGTTTTAACTTGTTTTTAGCATTTTTGTCAAAGAGCAAAAAAAATGTGTCACGTTTATTTGGCAGTCGTGTCAATATTTCTCGCCTGATAATCGTTTTCAAAACATTCGACTTTAAAAATGTAAGAAATAATGATTTTAATCCATATTTTTCTGCCTAAATGTGAGTAGAAAACGGTTCTTTGTGACTTTTATGTTTCTCATCGTACCGATTTGCAATGAAAATTGATTAAAGTTTTAGTTTTTGAAAATTCCAGTGAAAATAACAATGAAACTTTTATTTAAATCTAACTAAATCTGCTACAAAAAACAAAAACAACTAATAAGCATTTGATTGAAAGCAAGATGTAATAAGTAAAATATTCTGGATAAACTAATTGTAAATCTTTTCTGAAGTAATTTTGTTTACACTCAGGCAATTAAGAGTTATATCTCACTTCTTTTTTGGCACTGTGTCGTGTTCCTTTTGAAATGAATAACACGATTTGCGGATTCGTGTTGATCATTTATTGAATACATGGACAACAATCAAATTTATGCTAATTACTTAAGACGATTATTTTGCCATCTGTTAAGGTTGACAACACAACAAAGCCAAGTGTAAATAATGCAATATTTTTTATTGAAGAAGGGAGGTTGTCAGTGTGGGGATGTGCTTAACCTTGTTATTGAACTCGCTGACTGTTTAGTCGTCTTTTGTCAGCGATATTTTTCGCTGCTTCCAACCAAGTGACGTCTATAACCAACAACACAGTTGACAAAATTTTGCGTGAAGAAAATTGTTATGATATTGTATTATATCTTTATTTTGTATCGACAGTATTGCTAATTTAATAAATTTGTTGTGTTGTTATTTACTGTAAAAATTTGCCATGTTTACGCTATTTGCATATACATTTTACGTATCATTAAGCATGTATGTCAGCCTAAATGGATAATGCTCATATCAGAAATTCCCTGGGTTGACAACTAGCGAAATACATTCATTATACAAATATATAATAAATATAAATATAAATGAATTCAACAAATATTTGATTCAAAACAAATTATGTCACGTTAATTGCTGAAATATATTTCCACATTATCCGATTGTTAAATGCTATTTAAATATGTGCATGCAATCATTTGATGCGAGACAAATTCTAAAAGGAAGACAAATTACCTGCGCGCCATGGATGTATTGGTGGCAGTTGACAGCTGTGCATTTTCTCAGCCAATTTATCAAGTTCCGCATTGGAAGTTAAGCAAATAAAATATGAAAGAAGAATAAATTATTTAATTTAAGCAAGCGTTTGTGCACTTACATATATAGTTGGTATTACGTATAAAGCTTGTCCGGTATTGACTACAGCACTGTGTCCTTTTAGTGGCTTCATTTTATGAGAGGATTCGGAACCCTTGAAAGGGGATAAAACTGTAGGCTGGTTATTGGACGCATCGTTTACATGAGACTTTGTGTCCTGCTCGTGTCTTGTCGATCCTTTTGGGAATGCGCCTTGAGGTCTCATAGGTTTCATGGGATTGAAACTGGCAGTTGAGTGTCCAGAAATTAAAAGTAAGAATACTTTCGCTCATTTCAAACTTTTGACAACACAAAAGAGGATTTCAATTTAGCATTGATAATTAATTACTTAATTTTTCTTATTAATTATTTTTTAATTTATTTATTTTATTTTATCAATGTAAAACCAGGCAAAACATCAAAAACAATCAAGCGATTTATTTTACAATTAAAATGTGCACACTAATAAAATCTTATTAAATTCTAATTACAAAAATTCCCCTAATACGATTTAAATTCGAATTTGTCGTTTGTAACATTTAGCTTTACTAATTAATTGGTATCTAGAAATTTGCTATTATGCGTTTCGAGTTCGAATTTGTAGCGTAATGGTGGCATTTACCTTTTTGTCAGCCACCTACTGCCACTATTGCTATGACACCAAATATCGACATGCCACCACAAGCTATTAGTTAATGGTGCTTGTGCCCTCTGGTCACACTGAAGTTTCTCGCGTCGAGTTTGCAGAAAGAAATAACATTGTTAGATTTTAGTGCATTGCAGTGGAAAGATAAAAATGCCGCCCACTATAAATAATTCGACGGCAAATAGCGCTGCGGAAAAGCGACCGCAGCGTCAGACAGAACGCAAGTAAGTATCGCCTCAGAAGCAGGCGCCCACGTTTATTTGCTAAACATGCGTTACTTGTTGCAGGTCCGAGATAATTTGCCGCGTTAAATATGGCAATAATTTGCCGGATATTCCCTTCGATCTAAAGTTTCTGCAGTATCCGTTCGATAGCAATCGCTTTGTGCAGTACAATCCCACATCGCTGGAGCGCAACTTTAAGTACGATGTGCTGACGGAACACGATCTTGGCGTCACAGTGGATCTCATCAATCGCGAACTTTACCAGGCCGATTCAATGTCACAACTGGATCCGGCTGATGAGAAACTGCTCGAGGAGGAGACAATGACGCCAACGGATTCGGTGCGCTCACGCCAACATTCACGTACAGTGTCCTGGTTGCGCAAATCCGAATACATCTCCACGGAACAGACGCGCTTCCAGCCTCAGAATCTGGAGAATATTGAGGCCAAGGTGGGCTACAATGTGAAGAAGTCGCTGCGCGAGGAGACCCTCTATCTGGATCGCGATGCCCAGATCAAGGCCATCGAGAAGACGTTCATCGACACAAAGAGTGACATCACCAAGCATTATTCCAAGCCGAATGTGGTGCCCGTTGAGGTGTTGCCCATATTCCCCGACTTCACCAATTGGAAGTATCCCTGCGCTCAGGTCATTTTCGACAGCGATCCGGCGCCACAGGGCAAAAATGTGCCCGCACAGCTGGAGGAGATGTCGCAGGCCATGATTCGTGGTGTCATGGACGAGAGCGGTGAACAGTTTGTCGCCTACTTTTTGCCAACAGAGCCAACGCTGGAGAAGCGTCGCAACGACTTTGTCGCCGGCGAGCTCTACAAAGACGATGAGGAATACGAGTACAAAATTGCGCGCGAATACAACTGGAATGTCAAGACAAAAGCGTCCAAGGGCTACGAGGAGAACTACTTCTTTGTCATGCGACCCGACGGCATCTACTACAACGAGCTGGAGACGCGTGTGCGTCTCAACAAGCGACGCGTCAAACTCGGACAGCAGCCGAACAACACGAAACTGGTCCGTATTAAAATTCTCAATTCCCAATTGTCCAAATCAGTTTCTATATTTCCACATTTATATTATATGACTGCCGCAGGTTGTTAAGCATCGTCCGCTTGATGCCATTGAGCATCGCATGCAGCGCTATCGCGAACGCCAATTGGAGGTGCCTGGCGAGGAGGAGGAAGAGGAGGACGATGAAATGGAGGTGGATGAGGAGCAAACGAAAACCGCGGCTGCAGCGGATTTGGCTGTCAAATCAAAGACTGCTGTCGAAGAGGCAGCAGCTGCTGGCGGCTCAACGCCAACGCCCGATGCACAGGCGCAACGTGAACGACAGTCTCGCTCCCGCACCCGCTCCGGTGGCTCACGTTCACGCACACGCAGCCGAAGCGGCAGCGCCAGTGGTAGCGGCTCCCATAGTCGCAGTCGCAGCCGCTCCAGCTCGGCGAGCGGCTCAGGCTCACGGGCCAGCAGCCGCTCCAAGTCTGGCTCCCGCTCGCCAAGCGGGTCACGGTCGCGCTCCAATACACCCGCTGGGTCGCACAAGTCGCGCAGTCGCAGTGCATCACGCAGCCACTCAAAATCTAAGTCGAAATCCAAGTCGAAATCAAAGTCAAAGTCACGCAGTCGCAGTCGCAGTGCATCTGGGTCGCGTTCTGGCTCCGGTTCCCGTTCGCCCAGCCGTTCGCGCAGTGGTTCACCAAGCGGGTCCGGCTCGGGCTCCAGCTCTGGCAGCGGCACCGAGGAGGAATAAACATAATAGCAATAACAATAATTCGCAAACTTTTGCAGCTTCTAATTTAAGAGAGAACAATACACAAAATGTACACAAAGACAAAAAACACTAAGCTAATTTTAAATCTTTGGGCAGCTACGTGGCGTCCATGAGGAAGTGGCGAAAGAGCTCCCCATCCGAGCTGGGCTGCTCCGGCTGCTGTGGCGGCGAGTAGAGGCGCAAATTCTGCAGCTGCTGCAGCGGTGAATTGCTGCCATCGAAGTGCACATTGCCATTGTCCAGGATTACCTGCTGTGGTGGCTCCACGCCACAAATGCCCAGCTTCTGGCAGCTCTCGACAACAATGTCATCGATCGTCTGCGAGAGCAACGCCTCCTGATCCCCAGCACTCGCCGCACTTCCCGCTGCCAAATGCTCTGTCTGCACATTGCCCACCACACCGACCACATTCGATTCCAGCAGTGCCTTGATCAGCTGCTCCGGCGTCTGCGCCTCCTCAGCGCCAGCAGCGCATTTGTGTGTGCGCAGCGAGACCTTGTACCGGAAGGTCTTCTGGCACTGCTCACACTTGTAGGGCATAACGCCGGTGTGGATGCGGGTGTGCACCAGAAACGAAACCCGCTGCCGAAAACATTTACCTGTGAATGCCGAGAGCAATTGTTATTATTCATTATTATCAATTAGTTATTCAATAACAGTTTTCTCTTATTTGTTACATTAGTCAAGTTCTACTGCTGGGCATCTATTGGAACAATTTCTATCCTATATAAAAGAAAAGCTGCATTTTGCGCAGCAATTTTCATTTTCATCTGATCGTTAATGAATTTAAATATCAGATACGACTTATACCGATTACAAATTGGAACGATATATTTCAGGCTTATTTTCGAAGCCACAAAATAAAATTTGGAACATTTTTTAATATTTGAACTGTTGTACAAAGTGTTTTTTTTGTCAGATTGGCATTTAGACAGAAAGCAATTAATTTAAGATAATCCTTATATTATGGAAGAAAATCTGATACAGAAAGTAGGAAAATCACAAAGTTGAGAATGATGTATGTCTACAAATCTTAAAGTCACATCCAATTTTCAACCAATGCTAAGTATTATATCTCTCTGATCCATATCGAGCCCGTCCGTAAGTTCGCTTGTTTACTTACCGCACACCTCGCACTTGAAGGGCTTCTCGCCGCTGTGAATGCGCTGATGATTGTGTAGCGTCGATAGCTCCTTGAAGGCCCGTCCACAGATGCCGCAGGCGTGCGGCTTCACCTCGCTGTGGTAGAGTAAATGCTTGTGGTAGGACTGCTGGAAGGTGAAGGTGCGAGCGCAGTATTGGCATGTGTAGGGCATCTCGCCGGTGTGGAGCCGCTTGTGCTTCTTCAGGAAGTACTTGGTGGTGAAGAGCTTGGTGCACACATCACACTCCCAGTTCTTGGGCGTGCTTCCGTACTCCGAGCTGTTCGCTGACTCTGCTGCACTTGTCGTGTCCTGCTTCAGCATACAAATGGCACCACTCAGCGCATATGGCTGGGTATTGTTGTTGTTGCTGCTGCTGCTGTTGGAGTTGTTTGAGTTGTTGTTGCTGTTGATGTTGCTTGAAGTGATGGTGTTGCCGTTAGCCAAAGCCGTTGCCTCCTTGTGCCGAATGCGATCGCAAATGCTTATCTTGGGCGTGGGATTGAGCATCAGGTTGCCATTGCTGCTGCTCGAGTTTGCGTTGCTGCTGTTGTTGTTGTTGGAGCTGTTGGTGCCACTGCTGCCAACTGTGTGCAGCACCTTGAGATGGACACGCAGCGAACCCTTCATGCGAAACGTCTTGGAGCACAGATGACATTTGTACGGCTCCTGCTGCTGCAGCGGCTGCGCCGCCGTGCCCTCCACTCCATTCTCGTGCACCAGCCGGATGTGAATGTCGCGCAACTCGTCGTTCCGGAAACTAAACTCACAGATGTCACAGCGGGCCGGCGGTGTGGCAGGCAGTGGTGCTTGAGGCGGCGGCTCCACAGTCTTCGCACGCGACTTTTTGCCACGCCGCTTGGGCGCCGCAGCAGTCGGCGGAGTAGCAGGAGCTGCAACAGGCGGGGGTGGCGAACTGACTGCAACTTCTGGAAGTGTGGCAACTGTTGGAACTTCATCCACTCTGTTCATGAGACTGGTGTGGCTAAACAGATGTATGGTTAGCTTATCCAGGCCCAGGAACTGCTCTGTGCAGTGTGGAAATGGACAGGCCAAGGGACCGTTGGCCGCCTTAATTAGACGCTGCTGCAGTGCATCGATGCTATTGAAACTGGGCACGGCGCACAACGGACACAGCACCGATGTGGAGCACATGGCAAACGGGCACTTTACACGCTTTTTACACAGATTTACAATCACTCTGATTTTTATCGATATTACTTTCAATATGCGTGCATAGAAATTGTTGTAACCATTTTTGACCGACAAAACTTGAAAGGAATTTTTTTTTCCTTCTACTCAGATAATTTCTAAAAATACTTGCAACGAAAATATTGAAAAAATTGTGCCGACGACGACGACAACGTTGCCTCTGTTCGTCTGGGCGAAATCGAAAATAATGAAAATATTGCGCTCCCAGCCCGGCGAGCAACGAAGAAAAACCCGAATTTCGAAAGTGCCGAGCAGTGCCGAAAAAGAAAACAGAAAAACAACAACAACAACATCGATCAGACAAGACAGATTATCTTAGTTTGTTGTTGTTGTTGTTGCTCTTTTGTTTTTCCTCTTGTTGCACCACAATTTGTGTCTAGTGGGAGTATTTAGTATTGGAATTTTCGGTTCTTTGTTTTGATCTCGCTCGAAAATGGATCGAAACGGGAAAAGTGGCATATTCTACATCCATTGTACTTCTTTAAGAAAATTTATTTCATATTTTAAACCAAGTACAACGAAAAGCTTCAAGGGGTATGCTTGGTAGGAAATACTTACATTTATATGCTGCTGCAGTCAGTAATCTAATTAAATGGAAGTGTTTTAATCATATCATATTTATATATATAATATTAGTCTTGTTTCTAATGATTATACTAATAATCTAAAATTTCTATAGATATACAAATGGAAAATGTTCAGCTGTGCTCCACTTTACGCAAAACTTTTCCGTTTCCACTCTTCACAAAAATGTTGTTTCGGATTTTGAGTGCTCTAATTTAGGCATTTGGTTTTGAAAAATCCTTATTGAAGTTAAAAACTTTACTACAATATTTGGAATATATTTTGCTCTACATTAATAACAATATTCATCAATAGAACATTTTTAATACTTTGTTAAAATGATTACTTTTTCGCTTTTACAATCAAAATAAAAATGAAAAGAAAATGTTTTTCAGCTTATTTAAATTTTAAAACTCACTGATTTATTAATAAAGTAGTAAAAACACATTTACTTGGAATTCGGTAAGGAACTTTTTGCTTCGATTTTCTCTGAAGAAATTCTCTGAAATTCTCTGCTCTTTGATAATTTTTGTAAAAGATTGTTAAATCTTTACATCTAAATCATTTTTTCTGAGTGTAGTAGATGAGCACAATGTGTAGTCTTTTTCAATAGGGTATATATGTATGCAAATCATTGAAGCAGTCAAGGGTATCCGCTAGCTGTATACTATTCGTCTCTATTTATAATCAAGTATATCTATACATCTTTGTGTGTATAATGCTCTCTTGTTTCTTTTTATTATTTGGTCAACGATTTGTTGTGCGCTATTTTTATGGGTCGTGTTTTCTATTCTATATATTTTTTGCTGCGCTATTTATTGGTGTTTCTGTTTAGCTGTCCGATTTGTAAACAGTTCGTTGGCCAAAGAAGCACGTGAGTGCCCGGGAGTACAGGAGTAGTCTGAGAAGAATATTTCATATACTTGGCCAAAAACACAAAAAAAAATACATCATCAAATAAAATGTGGATACAAATTTCATTTGTTTTTGGGCGGAAAATCGAGGGATACGACACTGATCCGTGTCGAGGTGCTTTCCTCTTTGCCCACACTGGCCTCCGAGGTGGAGGAGCGAGCGCTGTAACCTGTACAGTAAATATATATATATATAATATAGTGGAAAGCACACAAATTGTCAACATACCTTTAACCGAGTAGCAATCGAGGGAGGAGTACGAGGTAGTTCTCGAGGAGATGCAACTGCGTGTGGGCTTTAAATGATGTGGCAGCTTCAGTCCCTTACCCAGCATAAAGTGTATTATCTCTGGGCCATCGTCATCGCTGTTGGCCATGTCGGCCAATAGATTTAACGTCTTTCGATTCCGGCTCTCCAGCTCCTGCAGATTGAGATCACGCTCGAATAAGTTGAGATATTCTGTGCCGATGGCTCTCTGCTTAATGTCCTTGATCAAAGTGTGTATCTCGCGATTGGCCCTATCGATTTTTGCTTTCTGATCCTGCAGCTCTTTGCTCAACTTGTCCAGCGCCTCAGCATCTTCGAGGCACTTTTGTTTCTCCATCTCCACTTGATGCATCGCACGCTCCTGTTCCAATTTCTGCGACTCGATTTTGCTATCGTAACGCTCCGCCTTGCAGCGCAACATCTTCAGCTGCTCCAAGTTGTGGCAGCAGATCTCCTGTTGCCTATTCAATTCCTCCTCGAGGCGCAGTTCATCTGCAATTGAAGAGGCGGTTGGGGGGAAGTAAAAACTAGTATTATCATTGGTATATGTATCTACCTTTTGAGTTATCATCGTAGGTCTTCAGATTCTTGCGATATTTATCGTTAGATTTGTCAAACTGGCGCAGCGTATTCTCGAGAGCGATGACCTCCTTCTCGGCCTTGAGCACCTTCTTGTTGAGCGCATCTCCCTCGTCCCCGAGCAGCTGCCGCTCCTGGGCATTCTCCACCTTCAGCTGGGTGGCCGTGATCACAGTGCCATCCTCGTTGACGCCCAACAGTGCGGATGTCAGCTCGAAGCGGGCACGCATCGAGGCAATGTGCTTCTTGCGCTCGCCAAGATCGGCACGCAGGGTGCTCAGCTCCTCGTTGAGATGCTTGCGCTTGAGCAGCAACACGTCCTGCTGGCTGCGCAGCTCCACAAATCGATCCTTGATGATGCGCTGGAAGGCCAAGCGATGCTGATTGAGGCTGTAGGTGCCATTCTCGCATTTATCGATGACATTCTGCAGGTCACAGCAGCGCATCTTGAGCAGACTCAGCTCCACAACGAACTCGGAGTTGTCGTAGCGATTCATCCGGAGACGTTTAATGGTGCCCTCGCAGTAGACTTGCGCCTCCTTGATCTTGAACTTGACCAGCTCCAGATCCTTGGCATCGTTATTATAGACAATGACTAATGCGTTCATGCTATAGTTGAGCTTCTTATTCTGCGCCTCCGTGGAGTTCAGACGACGCTGCAGCTTCGCCAGATACTGCTCCAGTTCGGCAAGCGTCTCCTGGTTGCGTGCCTCCGTTTCCGGATCGGTATTCTTGCCGCGCAACTCAGCCAGCTTACGCTCCACCTGCAGATACTTGAAGGACATGTCGTAGTGAATTTCCGTCTGGCGTTTTATCTCCAGCTCCACCTGTCGCTGACTCCGCTTCACCGCCATCATCGTGGAATGCAGCGAATCATTCTGCATAACGAATGTCTTCTCCTCATCCTTCAGCTCCGTTATCTGTCGCTGTGTGCGAAACAGGAGCTCATTGCAGCGCTGCTGCTCCTTGTTGAGCACACGCAGCGCCTCCTCCTCACCCTCCATCATCTCGTCGAGAATGTGCAGCCGCTGATTGGCGTCCGTTGCCTTATCCTCAATCGATCGAAGGCGACCCTCCATCTGCAGCAGCACCTGCGTAAAGTTCTCAATCTCGGCCGTTTTATCATCGCGCAGCTTGAGCTGCTTGCGATTATCCAGACGCTGGGCATGCACCATATTGGAGAGATTCTCCAGCTCGTGGCGCAGTGCCTGAATCTCACGATCCTTCAGGAATGCAGCATCTGTTAGCCGTTGCATCTCGTTCTTCATCTCGGAGGTGTCCGCATTCAGCATCTCAATGCCCTGCTCCACCAATCGATTGTTCTCCAGGACATCGTTCAGCTGCTCGTTGGCAATCCGATAATTGCTGGCCATCTTCTCCGCTTGCTCGATCAGCCTGGAGCATTCCATCTCACTGTTCTGTATCTCCATTTCCCGTTGCGTCATCTGACTAACTGCCTGCTTCCAAGTCTCTACCATTTGACGGCGTTCCAAGTGCGCCTCCCGATACAGGCAGGCCGTCCTCTCCAGATTCTTCTCCAGGGTCGTCTGCTCATCGTACAGCATCACGATCAGCTTGCGCCGCTTATCGATGTCCGCCTGGAGCAGCTGACGCCGTGTGTTCAGCTCACGTGCCCGCTGCTGATCATCCTGATAGTAGCGATCGATCAGTTGATAACCCTTATTGCCATCCTCCATGGCCTCAGCCCAGTCGACCAGACTCGATTTGGCCGTCTTGATGCGCTTGGTCAAATCATCGATTTCTCGTTTGTTCTTTGTGATTTTACCTGGAAACACAACTCTTTCGATGGCTTCTCGGGATGCAGTTAATAGTTTGTGACTTACACAACGTATGCTCTGCATATTCGGTGTATTCCGCCAGCTCCTTTTGATTCTTTCGCACATCCTCTTTGAGCTTGTTGCGCTCCAATATAACCAGCTGGGTGCGATGCGCCTCCTTCAGCACATCGTTCTTCACCGAGTTGAAAAAGGTCTACACAAAAACGGTGATTGTTAATCCATTCCATATCCAATATCTAACCCCCTCCGATCCCCACAAGACTTACAATGTTCTGCTGCAGCGTTGCCTCAATATTCTTCTTGTGGCGCTCGATTACCTTTTCGCGCTCATCCAATGCAACAATTCGCTGCTGAAGAATGAACTTCTCTGCCCGCATGCCGACCATGTCCTGGAGTATGGCCAGATTCTCGGCATTGGCCATTGGGATATCGTCCTCAACGGCCCATCCCATGGAGCGCATCGCTTCCAGCTTGAACTCGTCCAGCGAGCTGCTCTTCATGTCCTCCGTTCGATTCATTTGTTCTTTATCAATCTTGCAATGTCCCTAGCTATATAATTACAATAAAGTGTATATCAAGCTGGATATAATACTATATCCAGCTCGGAAAGTATTATTTACAAACTCTTATTCAAGAAAAACTACTTGATTTTCTATGGCAACTGGCGTGTTGATTTTCTCTCTCTCCTTATTGCCCTGCCTGTTCCGGGCAACGACAGATTGTTGTTAACTACCGTAAGTGGAAATTGCCTGGCGCAGGAAGGAGTGCGGGTAGTTTGTTGCTTGGATTATTTAAAAAATAAAGTACAGATAAATATTAAAAGTTTTGTCTAACCGGGTGAGCCTTGCGATTTTAAAGTTTGAATAGATTTTTAATTACTGAATCAGCTTTCAAGTTGTTTTGAATAACTTCATTATATTATTATTCATTACATTATTATATATTCATATAAAATACTGCTTAACTCTCTCATATCACAGATCCTCCCCCTTCCCCAACTTCAACCCAATAATTTAAAAAAATAGATAGTAGATAATAAATAGTAAAATTTACATTTTTCTTATCCATCTTATCTTTTCCTTCCTATCGTAATTAGTCATGCTGAACAAAGACAAATTGAGTTATAAATAAACCAAAATATTTGTATTGGAAGCAAATAAAATAATTCGACATTATTTTTATTCAAGGCTACAACCATAAGGTTGCAGCACTGACTAAATTTCCATCAAGCAGAAAAATAGTGCATACCTTTAGGGGCACACAAGCGACAAGGAAAAAGGCTCTAATTCGGCCAATTCTTTATAGATTTTCGAAAAGAAACAGCGTTAAAATCGCCTCGAACTGCATTCAAGGGATATTGGATCATCTATGAACCCAAACACAAAAACTGCATTCACAGCGCGAACTCAAATGTGTGAAAATCACAAAATGGTCAAGTTAGACACGGGTTTTCCAGTTTCCAATCGGCAGACCTTCCTCCAGCGAGTTCAAATATATGTGTCCTTTCTTTAATGATATGGCAAAGTGTGGCATAAGAGTATATGTCCTTTTTGCAAGATCCTTTTAAATATTTCACTTGCAGAACAAGCAAAAATAGAAATTACAAAATTCTGTTTATATGCATTATGGATCCATAAATCCAAATCCCATTAGTAAAACACATTATCGGGTGCATTCAATATGTATGTATTCAATCATTCAAAAGTATATATTTATATTTTTATCATATATTAAAATCCTCGTCAATCTTGCACAGACCCGGGTAGGCAACATTCATGCCCGTTTGGCAGCCATAACCCACACGACCGGTCACATAGACGGGCTGGCCAACCACATTGTTTACGGCATAATAGCAGGTAAACAGGAATTGATTGTTATTATTCCTAAAGAATCGGGCAGCAGCACAGCCCACAGCGATGTTCCTCTGCTGCGCCATCAGCGTAAAGCGATTAATTTGGCTGTGGAAGGACAAGATGAAGGTACAACATTTGGTTGCAGCAATGGCAGCATTTGTGCTTACCCTCCCGACCAGCTGCTTGGGTAATTATTGATGACTGTCATGTCGGCAAAGTCGCTCTCCAGCCACCAGTTCGAGATGGCCTGCCTCACCAGGAATTGGTTTGTTCTGCTAGACTCAGCGCCCTCGTAGGCAAACAGCGCAATATTCTGTCCGCTGTTGCGGAATCTATCGGTGTTGTGGCATTCATCTCGCTTACGCACGCACTGCTTCACATTGAGCTCCGCCAAGCTGGCCAGCTGAGGACTCCAACGCATAGTTGCCATGCGTCTCGCTGGACCAAAACCTGGCAGATTGCCCAGCGCCAGACGATTGCGCCTAACATTGTGGGCATCTATCGTATCCTGGCGCAGCGCTTGGTTCATGTTGATGAGGTACGGTGCAGGAGTTGTGGGGCAGGTTGACGACCATCCCTAGGAATTTATAATTAACGTTGGATTAAGTAATACTTTACCGATCCTTAGAAGGCTAGACTTACTCCAGTATTATTGCAAGCAATGTGCGTGGTACCACTGCTGCAGAGATCCTTCTCGCAGTAGTCGGTTTGCCCAAAGGCCAAAGACAGCGTCAAACTAAGCACAAACAGGGTAAACATCGTGAAATTACTGATAGAACTATGTTCAAGATCTGGGGTTTATATAGTTTCCCATTTGTTTGGTTTATATATATATAACGAAGGTTATTTTTGTAACAATGAAAGAATGGTAACAACTGTGTTTGCATTCCCACTTTTTGGAATATCCCATTATCATCGAGACAATTGTAAAATCCCTAACAACACTTAAAACAAACAGCTATTTTTTGCGTACAGTTATCACTCAATAATTGGATTCCACTTAGCGAACTAATCTAATTTCTGAAGATGATCTTATAAAACAGAAGCTAATTCTTATTAGGAAAATTGCAATACTTTATGACAACCATTGAAATATTTAAATCGGTTTCATATGTTTAGCGAAAATGCAATTATAGTTTCTCAAAACTAAGTTTTAGCATTGAAATTTACGATTCGGTTTTCTAGGGGATTCTAAATTCTGGAATTAATAATTTGCAAGCAGTATAAGGTCTCCATCAAGCACAAGTTACATAGAGCTTGTTGCTAGGCCTATTAGAGATCTGTCTGTTTCAGTTGGGCAAACAGTTCAGCTTGGTAAATATCCAATATCCATAAAAATGAAAATAGCTAATAAACATATTGCCATACATTTGTTTCTTTTTCTCTTCAGTTTTATTTGCTTGTTTGTTGTTGTTGTGGTTTCATTGTAATATAGCAATTTTTCTTGTTTTTGTTGTTGTTGTAACTATGATGTAATGTTTATATGATAATTTAATGCTAGCTTTTTTTGTTTTATAACTTGATGCGGTAATCTTCAATATTTGTATAATTATTATAAATGTAAATCATCATTTTAATATTATTATTATTATTATGATCAGTACTGCAAAAGTTGATAAATCGTATTTATATTTGTAATAATATAGATCGATCGATTAGTTTTGTTTGAACAAACTCAAAAATCGTATATGCATATGCTTTAAATACAATACAATACAATTACAGATACATTTATGTAATGTTACAGCTTTTTACGAAGTAGTTTTTATATACCCCTTATTTATTTATTTATTTATATGTATGTATAGATATATTGTTAATGTTGTAATGTGAACTAATCGCTAGAGAACTCCATTTCATCTTGTGTATGCTGTATCTGCATCATTACATTTCAATTAAAATATTTTGTATAGATCATTTTATTTATTTCTGGTTGTTGCCCATTCTTTCTGTGGCTTCCTTTGTTGGCTATGATAATAAGTTAACACAGCTTGCAGAATATTTGCTTTAGAGGCGTTTGTTAGATACATAAGGTGTGTGTTCTTTAAATGTATATAATTATATTATGTATATTTATATAAATATATATATATATATATATATATATATATATATATACATGCTTTATTTTATCTTTTATAAACTTTAATTTCAAGGGTGGGCGTTCATTATTTTTACGTTTCGCTTTGAATTCATTTCATTTCTTCATATTTGGATGGGGGATAAAGGGTTGGTGGTTGGGGATTGGGGATGGGGACCCCGGAAAACAAAATTGCTGCGTTATCATATTTCACATTTCACATATATATATATGTATCTCAGTATATATGTTATAAGCGTTTCCATTGACACACACACTTTATGCCAAGGAATATACATAAATTGCGATTAAAGAAATCATTCGAAACGCCTACAAAAACACAGTTTGCAACATAACAAAAAACTTAATAACAAAATTGGATTCGAAATTCAAATTTCAACTAGAGCGAAATCCAAATTACAAACTAAACAAATGAAATATATATAGTATGAAATAATAATAACCGTTTTCGTAAACAATTCGTTTCGGGTATTTCTTGCGATTTAATATTTTTTTTTTTTTTAATAGCATTTTTACATTGTTGTCCTTGTTGCAAAATACATATGTATCATGTTTCATGTATATATGATTGTATACACCCGAAGGTGCAGGCAGGGGGATGGGGAGAGAGGGGAAGCAACAGGGCAACACTACACGGTAAAGTGAGCCTGTACATATGATGATCAAAACTAAATGTTGGCAAATGTTGTTAAAAATATATTTATATAATATATTGATAGATAGCATATTGAAATTTGGCCAGTTGTTGAGAAATAAGGGAGAAATTGCAAATTGTGCAAACTTTTAAATAAAGTCGATTGGTTGTTGTTGGTTGATTTGAATCTTGATTGTGTTTTTGGATTTGGGATGCTTGCTATCCATTTTGTTAATTTTTCTTTTTCTTGTTGTTGATTTTTTTACTATAATCATCTATAGATAGATATTACTATATTGAATATGTATAGGCATATTTGGATTGTGAGTGTATCGTATCAATATATGTATGTGTGTGTGTGTTGTAGTGTGTGTTAAATGAATAACGTGTATTTCGTGTATATTGGATTTTCGTGTTGCTTTGTGTAAGATTAAGTTTTAAGACAGATGGAAGGACATGCTGCCCTCATTGGCAGCCACTTTCAGTTTCTGCCGCATCACATCACGACTGGAGTAGTCCGGCAACTTGAGATAGTTGACACAGGTCATCACAGATGGTAGATAATCATTGGGATTCTGATTCCCATCCAATGTCTTGCGCACAATGGTCAGCGGCGGGGTTAACGCCTTAAAGCCGCCCGTTGGCAGACGCGGCGAACCGGTTACAAACTGTAGGAAAGCGCGCTGCTCATCACGATTGTAGGAGACTAGGATCTCGTACAGATATTGTATGGCCTGAGATTCCTGGTGGAAGCCGTGATCGGTGCGGCAGCTGTCCTGCAGCATTTTGAGATCCCAGCTTTGATGCTGTTCGCTGCCCGAGCCGCAAAATACGCACTCCAACTCCTCTGGATAGAACATGCGCAAGCGTTGTATCGGAAATATGGAATCAAAGCCTGCAAAATACATATTTAAGTAAAAGATATAAAAACTTTAATGTAACGCCCAATTACCCTCGCGAAGTGCCTCAAACTGCTTCTGCACGCCCTCGACGAGGAACCAGTAGGTCACCAGCGAGATGTACTGATGCAAATTTTGAACGGTAACGGGCGTATCACGTCCACCACGACACAGCTCAATATTGGCATGGCCGGGCAGCACAAAGTCCAGGCCTAAATCGGCGATGGCGCAGCCATCCAAATCCAGTTGCTCCATCTGCATACAGAAATATAGCATAGATAATTTTCAATTAATGAAATCTTTGCTGTTTGACTGACCTTTTCCTTCTTCTCCATGGCATCCTGATTGGGATCAGCCTGTATATCCTCGCGCTGGCGCACCACATCCTGTAGACGCACCAACGATGTTTGTACCTCGGGCGCAACGCGCATTAAATCGGCCAGGCCAATTGAGTGCTCCTCGCTAACCAGCCAGCGATAGAACGGCAGCGAGAATGGCAAATCCAGCTAAGGAATACAAATCGAACAATAGATTTATATACAATATATATTAGTTTTACCCGGGGCTAGCAATAACTTACCATGCGACTATCCATCACCGCCTTGGCCATAAATTTGCCCAGGAACTTAAACTTGGACTTGGCCTTGGTCATTTGTGGCAGCTTGGAGGATTTGCCCAGCGGCAGCGGGAATAAACCATGCGCTGTATGCACATAACTAACACTTGAACTTGTTAGCAATGTTGTTGCTGTTGTGGTCGTTGTTGTTGTAGTGATTGTTGCCGTTTGTTGTTGGTCCAGCGCTTGAGGGAAGGAGGAGTTGTTGGTGGTGCCACCATTATTGTCAGTGGCAGCCATATCACTAAACTGCTGTGCAATGATCATATTTAAAGCGTTATCATTCGTTCCAGCACTCGAAGAGCTGTGCTCCGACTGCTGCTGTTGCTGCTGATTGCGCAGTGTGCTGCTGCGATTGCTGGAGCGGGTCAGATGTGGGGTGGTGGTTGCCTGTGTGGTTGTCGTAGTAGTGGTGCTGCTAACCACAGAGGCTGTCACCGTTGCTGCTGCTGCTGTTGTGTCCGACGACTCCAGTGCATCCTCAATATGCAGCACAGCGCTGCTGGACTTGACCACATCCACAATATTGGACGAATTGTGGCGATAGCTATCGCTGCCATTCCACAGACCCAAATCCGTGCGCTGCAGCTCAGCGGAGACCAGAGCATAGAACTCCAGCGTGGGTCCCAGCCCAGTGCCCACCTAAAACAACAAAACAAGCAAGTTAACACCAAAAACACACAGTCAAGAATTTATGCACTTACCTCATTCTCATATTGAATTTCTAGCAGTGCCTTAGAGTTGCCAAAGTCCTGGAGTATGTGCTCCGCCTGCTTGAGCAGCTCGGCACGTGAAATGGCGCGTTTACGCCGATCGAGACGCGGAGCGACACGCTCCGACGATTCGGCTGCATTCAGATCCGGGGTGGTGTCCAGCAGACGCTGCAGGGCACGATCGCGATCAAAGCTTGTCGCATAGAACAGCAAGTGGCGTGTCTCGAAGGGGAAGAGGAAGGGACAGGCCATGCCAATTTGGGGCAGCCATTGCGGCAGATTGCCAGTCATAATGACCAACGGATCCTGCAGTTGCCTATTGGCCTTGGCCGTTATCTTCGGATGCACAAACTCCGAATTGGCAATGATATTCTGACGCACAACGCACCCATAGAGATGCTCCCAGTGGCGATTGAGGGCGTAAATGACGCGCAGCATGCAGAGAGCATCGAGTGAAGCATCCTGAACGGTCACCACATCGCCGGGCAGGCTGCTGCTGAGGAATGTCTTCAGCGGTGACTGCACCAGTGGTGCAATGCCCTCGTGCCATAATTCGGTCTTCTTGCGCATGAATTTGCTGCTCGATTTGTGCGACTTTTTACCACCACCACCACCACTCGAAGTGGCTGCCGATGATGAGGATGAGCACGATGAGGTTGCCACATGCGAAGAACTGGACGTTGCATTGCTATTTGACTGTTGCTGGTGCTGATGTTGATGCTGTTGCTGGTACTTGTATGTCTGACTGCTGCTGCTGCACGAGCTATTGGCAGTGGATGCCACATTCTCCTCCTCCACAGGACGATAATAGATGGTGTGCTGTTGCACCCAAATGCTGCTGTTGCCTGTTCATATTTTCAAAAAATGGATTGATTACTTGATGAAATCATTGTGCATTCTTTGTGATGTACTCACCCAGCAGCATCTCGGACTCATTGTCCGTCTCGTTGTGCTCGTTGACCAGCGGCGAGAACTGTTTCACGGCCTGATAGACGGTCATGTTGTAGGGCAGCACATGCTCCCCGATGAGGAACTGCAGCTTGTGCTTGAAACTCGACTGGGTCATGACGACAGCAGCGACATTATCATCCATATCCTCCTCGCTGTCATCATCGGAATCGGCACGTATGCCGCCATAGCCACGCACCACCAAATAACGCTCGATCGCCTGCACCATCGCCAGCGGATCGATCTTGACGGTGCCGCCCTTCCACTGGCGCAGATTGCTGCACTGCGGATGACGCTGTAAATTGCACTGCGAATGCCAAAACAATAATAATTAATAAGAAAGCAATTTAAGTGAAGATGCCTTGCAAACTGACCTTCAACTGATGCGTATTGAAGAAACGCAAAGCACTCTGATTGGTGCGACCACCGGGTCCGGCTTGGAAGTCGTGCACCTTCACCGGAAACTGTTCCAGCTGCGTAACGCAGCCATTTAGCTTGGCCACAAACGCACCAAATGCCAGTGGTTCCATGCTGGGCAGCTGGCCGACATTCTGCAGCAGCGGCTCCAGCGGCAGACCGGCAAAGACGTGTAAAAAGCTGCGAAGACGCGCATCGCGCTCCACCAAACCCGATTCGCTGGTCATGTAGTTGAGCATGGCCTTGATCAGACCCGAATGGTTAACTTCGAACGGTGAGATGTCGCTTTCGAGCAGAATGGTCTTCAGCTCGAGCAGCGCATCCAAACAGTCGTGATAGCTGCCGTTCAGCTTGAGCAATATGCTCGACAGACGCTCCAGCACACTTGTGCTGGCCAGCGATGTGATTGCTGTTGACGCAGCTGCACCACCACCCACACCACCACCGACGCCACCTGCACCACTAGCCCCAGATGCACCGTTGCCGCCTTCACTTTCGCGCGCCTTATTGCGTCGCATCTCCTGCTCCGTGTACCGCTTGACGAAATCGATGGCCTGTTCGCGCACCCATTGACGAGCACGCTCGCGATTCGCCGCCGCCATCAGATTGGCATGCGAGATGCTCTTACTGATGCTGGCCGCTACAGCGGCGGCATTCATGCCCGCAGCACCACCATGCTGTGATCCCGAACCCGCTGAATAGGCCAAACCACCGCTGGCCGAGCTGCAGGCGCCAGTTGTTGAGCTGCTGCTGTTGGTGTTGCCATCCTTAGACAGGCCATGATGCGATGAGGATTGTTGCTGCTGTTGCTGTTGTTGCTGGTGATGATGATTCGATGTCTGGCGACCCCAGCGTGCCGGATTAAGCGAGGACAGAAATGAGGTTTTGGTTGAACTGCTGCCCGCATTGCCAGCGCTGAAGCGTGACTTGGAGTTGCTCGAACCAGAGCCAGAGCTGGGCGTGTTGCGACCACCTGCGCCGCTGCCAAGACCTGCAACAGCAGAGGAGATATAGATATAGAAACGAGTTATATATATAGTATAGATATAATACTTACTGGTGGCACGGCTGAGCAGCTCATGCATTGCAGAGCTGGCCGAACTTGCTGCTGCAGCCGCTACTGCGGCATCATCCTGTCTGGACTTGGCGCGTCCGCTGCTCTGCGATTTGCGTTTGGGCGGCGCCTTGCGCTTCAGCATGTCCGTCATCTTGTGCTGCAAGGCTGAGGAGGAGGAGTTGTTGCTGCTGCTGTTATTGCTATTGTTGCTGGCTGCTGCTGCACTGGTGGAGGCGACTGCCACATTCATGTGATTCAGCTGCTGTTGCAGTTGTTGCTGCTGTTGATAGAGCACCTGTGATGACGGCAACTGTTGCTGCTGCTGCTGTTGTTGGTTGCCGACTGCTGTTGCTACGCCTGCTGCTCCTCCGGTGGGCAGCAATTCCAATTGGGCTGCAGCTAACGGCGCCGCTGGCTGCTGGAAATTCAGATACTGGCGCGGATCAGCGCTTGATGTGGCAGCCACAAAGTAAGCAGTTGGTGGCGCTCCTCCAGCTGCCGCCGTCGTCGTCGGGGCTGTCGAGGAGCAGGGCGCCGAGCTGCTGTAGCTGTAGCCAGCATCCAGAGGAGCCGACGCAGATGCTCCTGTTCCTGCTGCTGTCTGCTGGTGCTTGGCCACAGCATTGGCGCTAGCTGTGAGCGCGTTCATCGCATGCGAGAAACTCTTCACGCTATACGATTGATGCTTGGAGCTGCTGGGAGTGGCACTGGCGCTGCTCGAGCCGCCACCGCCGCCAGATGCTGATGTTGGCGGCGCCGTAACATTGTCCATGAAAAAGGGATTCACTTGCAAACTATTCGCCGAGGCGGGTGCACTTTGTGAACCGCCCGCATTTGCCGTTGGCGTTGCGAGTGCCGCCGGTTTGGGTGAAGGATTAGCGCAGATCGGGTTGCTGGGATCGGTCAGCTGGGTGAACTGATAGATGACGCCTTCGCGTCGGAAATGTGTGCCAAACACATCTGGCAGCTGACGCATCAATATCTCTGCCATCTGCAATGCGCCGACAACAATGCGCAAATCATTGCTGCCCAACATGCCGGCAATATGGCTGGAGACCAACTGATATTTGAGCACCTGACGCAACAGCTCTGGCGTCGCATAGTAGACCATGCGCAGCAGAGCGCGCAAACACTTGTAGCGCACATTGGGCCCGGCCGACGAGCTGTACACCTCGTAGAGTACATTGAAGATGTGCTTGATGAAATCGGCAGCCAAGCCGCGCTCCTCCTTCAAGCAAGCGATGCGCGCATCCAGCGATGGACGACGCTTCACCTGATTTGCGCTGTTGTTGCTGCTGCTGCTGTTGTTATTGTTGTTGTTGTTGTTATTATTGCTGCTGCTGCTGTTTAATGCTGCTGCAGATGTGGAGGCGGCTGCACCAGTTGTGCTCAAATCCTGTCCAGCTGCCGCCGGTGCCACATAATTTGGATTCAATTTGCGTTGCACCGGACGTGTGGTGCCCGTGTCTTCGTTGATCTGTTGCATGGCATGAAAATCAACCATATAGGTGCGTCCCAGCGTACTCAAACTGATCTCATCCTCGCTGCTCTGATGCGCCGCCTCAATGAGACGCGAATCAATTGTGGAGTAATTGTGCCAGGCACCGCGATCATCACGCCACTGCCACTGTACCTGATCCTGGGTGTTGAGTGTGGGTCGATCGAGAAGTGCATCGACGGCAAAGATGCCATCCAATGGTAGACGCGGCATCAGTTCACCAATCAAGCACGTCAACTCGAGCAGTTCGAGGGGTGGACGCGTCACAAGCTCCACATGATTGGCACTGGCTGCCGCTGGCTCAGCATTGCCGGTGAGCAGATAGAGGAGCGTGGCAGCAATATCGTTGCGCAGCAGGGAAACCGCCAAGTCCGGGCAGGCACCGCACATCAGGCTGAGCATGCGCACCACATTCGTGAATGTGCCCGTATTGAGGATTGCCGGTGTCATCACCAACAGTTGCTGGCAATTCTTGAGCAGATCAGCGCTCGCAATCTGCTGCAATCGCTTGCCATCATGCGGGAAGCTCTCGACCAGACGCCAGAACGCCGTGCAAACGCTGTCCACACACTTCTTGTCCTGCTGTGAGAGCAGACGTGCCAGCTGTGGCAGACTCTCCGACACGAAATGGAACTCCTCGGCGTGCATATTCTGGCAGCAGTTGGCGGTGATCGAGAGAGCGGCACGCTGGGCCACAATCGAGAAGAAGTCAAGGTAGGTGAGACAGGCGCTGATGCCGTTCGCCTGCAAGATGGCCTTGTTGTGGCGTCGCGAGAGTATCTCCAGTGCGGTCAGACTCTGTTCGGCAACGTCCATGCACTGGATGACCTGCAGTTTCTCGAGGAACACCGGCACAGCGTCCACCACAGTGCCCGCTGACCGTGGCAATGCCTCCAGCATATAGGCCAAGGCACGGCATGCATTGTTCATGATATCAAAATTGTGCTCCATGCGCAACAGTTGAATGAGTGCCGGCACCACCTGCTTGACGGGAAAGCCAGCGAGGGTATCCTCATTGCCCATGACAAGCATTTGGCACATCTCGATGGCGGCCTGCAACTGTTGCGACTCATCGTGCGACTGCAGACCCTGCAGAAGCTGATTCGCTTTAGAGGTGCTGCTGTTGCCAATCGTCCGATGCAATATGTGCGTCATTCGCGGACCGAGTGCCCCAAACAAATGCGGTGGCAGACCGCGTGCCTCGAGCAACGCCTGCAGTCGTCCCACTTCACTATCATCGCTCTCTGAATCCGCGGCTGCTGCTGCTGCGGCTGCTGCAGCGGCGGCGGCTGCAGCGGCAGCATTGACAGCAGCAGCAGCTGCAGCAGCGCCAGTTGTTGTTCCTCCACCGGTTGTGGCTGCTGGTGCTTGTTGTGCCTGAGCTTGTGGAGCAGCTGCCGCTGATGTTGCTGATGCTGCTACTGCTGTTGTTGTTGTTGTTACATTGCTGCTGCTGCTGCCGCTAGCCGTGGCACTGTTGTTGCTATTGCTGCTGCCGCTGCCGCCGCCGCCGCCGCCGCTGCTAGCGTTGCTGCTGCTGTTGGCGCCCACGGCGCTGCTAACGTTAACGTTGCCCGCTGATTCGCGTGCGGCGCTCAACGCGGCTGCAACGATGCTGAGATTTGCCGAATTGGTAACTATGAAAAAAATAGAGTTCATAAAAAAAACAACACAATTAACATAATTGTAGCAGTAATTATTGTTTTCATTTAGAACTACACAAAATGTAATAAGAACAACAAAAAATACAGTGCAAAATGCACTAAAACATTGCAAGAGATACGAAGAGAGAGAGAGAGAGGGAGAGGGAGAGTGTGAGAGAGGGAGAGTGAGAGAGAGGAAGAGTGAGAGAGAGGGAGAGAGAGCTAGCAAACAGCTGACGTAGACAACAAATACATAGAATAAGACAACAAAATGGAAAGAAAAACAAAAACAATACATAAAAGCGATCGATAAGTTAGAGTAGTGTTGTGTAGTTGTGTTAAAATCAAGAATCGAAAAATAAAGATCCAATTGTAAACTAAAGAGCTAAAAGGCTACTGCTGCTGCTACCACCCTGTCACCTGAGTCGCCCTGTGTGTGTGTGCGTGTTTTGTAAGCGAAAATAAGAGCATGAGTTAATAAGTGATGTGTGTGTGTGTGTGGTGTTGTATGCGTGTGCTGCTCATTTTTGTTGTTTGTGGTGAGTTTCTTTCTGGTTTTTTTTTTATTTATTTTTTTTATTGGGTTTTGTTTACCTGTCGTCAGTTGCTGTCCACCTGCATGCGGCGGTCCATTTGGCGCTTGTTGTTGTTGTTGCTGTTGTGCCATCAAACTATATGTTAAAGCATCCGAAGCTGCTAAATTGAAGAATTTTTTTTTTTTTTTACAAAACGAAACGCGCAGTAAAAGGGATAGACCGTCAGAAAGAGAGGAGAGAGAGAGAGAGATAAACGCAAAAGAGAAATTAGAACTGCTATTATTTGATTGTGATTGGGTGGCTTGAGGGGGTGGGGGAGGAGTTGGTAGAGAGGGCCAGTTACCGCGAGCAATGCGACGCGCGACGGCTGCACAGGGTGGCACAGGTAGAAAGAAGGGGGGAGGGGCAATAAATAGATGAAATGACTTGTGTGTAAGGCGCAAAACGACAATCGATAACATCAGAATCGACTGCTTTATCGATTGCCTTTCAGGCTTTACTTCATTTTAATGGGATTGGGACAGAGCTGATTCGACTTTTTTTTGTGCAATTGTTCTAGTAGATTGTTTGCTTGCTTGCTTGCTTGATTGATTGATTGATTGATGACCCAACACCAGTAGAATATACATGTACCAGATATATCCAAGAGACCGATACCGATACCGAGACCATTATATATACAAACATATGTGTACATATACAACACAAAACAAACGGACTGACCATGCCCCTACAACGTACAACAACACGCCTACTGCTCCTGCTGCTCAAAGCCCTAATCCTAATCCTAACCCAAAGAGAGAACGTGAAGTGCTTGCGTGCGTATGTGTGGTGGGCTTACAAAAAACAAAAATAAGACGAACAAATAAATCAAAAGAGCTTGTTAGGAATATATATATATATATATATATATATATATATATATATGAATTTCGATCTAGATCGATATCGAGGATCGCCGGCCGTCCCGCTTTGCTGTGCTCGCAGTTTTCCATTACTCCACACACATGCCTCTCATCAATCCCGCTCCACTTACCACTGCTGTGCGGCGTCGCTTTGGGCGTCGCCTGTTGCGACAACTGTTGCTGTTGTTGTTGCTGCTGCTGGTGTTGCTGCGATGGCTGATTATGATTGCTTCCGCGGTAGTTGAACAAAAAACCCGGCTGTACAATTGTTGCGCGTTGCTGCTGTTGGTGATGTTGATGCTGTTGTTGCTGTTGTTGCAGCGCCTGTTGATGCAGTTGTTGGTGCTGTTGCTGTAGAGCAGCGTGCTGCTGCTGCTGCTGTTGTTGCTGGCGCACGGCAACAACCACCGTGTTGCCGCCCAATTGCGGATGATATTGATACTGATTGGGCGCCTGTTGCTGTTGTTGTAGTGTAGCTGCAGCAGCCGTGCCGGGCGCAACAACAACAGCTGCTGTCAGTTGGTGTTGCTGTTGCAGATGATGCTGTTGCTGTTGTTGTTGTTGCTGCTGCTGTGCGGCTGCTGCGGAACTCACACAAGAACCCGTTTTGCCACGTGAACTGCGGCGCAGTGAAGAATGCTGCTGCTGCTGTTGCGTGTATGCTGTGTGTTGTGACTGTTGTTGTTGCTGTTGTGTTGGTGGCGGAACAAATGTTGCTGCTGCGTACCGTGGCTGCTGATAAATAATGGGCGGCGGCGCTGGACGTGAATGTTGCGGCGGCCCTGTGGAGTTATAGTGATGTGGTTGTTGTTGTTGTTGTGGGTGTTGCTGTTGCTGCTGCTGTTGCAGATTGAGCACAGCGACAGCAGCAGCTGAGCTGTGATAATAATGCGGCTGTTGTCGCTGCTGTTGCTGATGATGTTGTTGTTGCTGTTGCTGATGGTGTTGATGTTGCTGATGGTGATGATGTTGCTGTTGCTGCTGTTGCTGAGCCGCTGTAAAATATGCAGCTGCCTGAAAATGTTGCGTTGCCGGCGCCGTGGGTGTCACAAAGGACGACAGATGCGCAGCAGCAAACTGATGCGCTGGCAGCAACTGTTGCGGATGCGGCTGCAGCGGCGGCAATTGCTGCTGCTGTGGTTGTTGTTGTTGCGGGTGCGAGTGCTGTTGTTGCTGTGGTACGTAGGGCGTCATGTGAGTGGCGGCTGCTGCCGGCAGCACGCTATAATCAACAATGCCAACAGCAGCGGCAGCGGCGCTGCTGCGTGTGGCTCGTGCCGCCCCGCCACCAATTTGTTGGCCAGGGGGGGCGGCACGCTGATACCCGGAGGACGTTGTTGTTGCTGTTGTGCCAGTTGCTGCTGCTGCGACTGCTGCTGCTGCAGCTGGTGTTTGGTGGTTTGTCTGCGCAGGTGCTGCCGACGGTGCTGCTGTGAGTGCAGTTGTTGTTGATGAATAAGTTGCCAGCGTGTTTTTGTTCGGTTTGCTGCTACTGTTGTTGTTGTTGTTGCTGTTGTTATTATTATTGTTGTTGCTGTGGGTGTTTGTTGTTGCTGTTGTGTGTTTGTTGCTGCTGCTGTTGCGTTTGCTGTGGCTGCGATTTGAGTGTGGCGCAGCTGCTGCTGTTGTTGTTGTTGTTGGGCGGCACAAGTAGAGAGGGGGGTAGAGTAGTGGGAGACAACAGTTAAACAGCTTTGTTTCTTAATTTTGTTTTTGTTTTAGGATTTGTGTTTTGTTTGTTTGTTTGTTGTTATTTTTGCTTGCAGCTACACTACTACGTTAGTTGTTGTTGCTTTTTGAATAATGTAATGCAAAAAACTAGGAATAGAGGGCGGCACGCATAAAAGGGTCAGTTTTAGAGGGGATGAAGGCTGGGGGTGGATTGGGGAAGATAGCGAATGGGGTTGTTTTTGGGGGAACTAATCAAGTAGTCGCTGACAATGATGATGTTGCTGCTGCTGCTGCTGTTGTTGTTGCTGCTGCTGTTGTTGCTGCTGCTGTTTACTGCTGCTCGGCACACTAAACTAATGTTGTTGTACGCCAGAGTCTGGGCTGTGCGTGTGTGTGTATGTGTGTGTATGTATGTGGCTGTAGAGAAAACACACACACACACACACACATGCACATGCACATGCACGCACAGACACACATACGCACGCAAGTTCTAGAGATATTGCAAGAGTGCAGCAAGTAACATGTTGTTGCTGTTACTGCTGCTGTTTGTACTGTTGTTGTCGTTAGGCCATCACTGCTGCACTTTTGTTGTTGCCGCTGCTAATAGTTGTCGTTGTTGTTGTTGTTGTTGCTGCTGCTGTTGCTGCTACAAATTATTTTCCCTCTCTCTATCATTCTCTCGGTCTCTTTTTCTCTCTCTCGCTGTCTCTTTCTAGAGTACACACCACACCCTGCGACGCGACGCTTTGAATGCTTCTTTAATTGTTTATTTCAATTATATATATATATACATTATATATCTATAATTTTGTTTGCTTGCACAAAAACAACAACATCATCATCATCATCAACAACACAAGGCATCAGCAATGAAATACATATTTGTTACATATATATATATAATATATATGCTTATAAATATACGTAAATACATACATATTAATTGAGTGAGTTGTACATAGAAATAGATTTCGGCAATTTACAAATATTATAAATTTGGCAAATCAAATGAAATACATATCGCAAAACAAAAATTTGCAACAGCAACGTGCAAAAACGAGATTTAAATCAAATTGTTGGCTTTGGCGGCGTTTTACAACACTGCGAGTGTTTCGCTCCAAAATAGAAACAAAAATAAACGGGAGAAACCCTATTTGCTTGGGGGACACACTGGCCACGACGACATTCTACGCATACACACTCAGTTAACGAAATAAATATGGAAAGGGTATTTTCTTAATGCAATGCAAATGCAGTTGTATAATAAAAGACAGAAAAATATATATATGGAATACAATAAATGAATAAGGAACTGTTATATCGTCGGGTTTGCCGAAGACTAGATACTCTTGCAGCTGAACATATGTATGTATAACGACTGATGTACAATATAATTTCCTAATCATATTCACAGTTGTTCACTTCTTGGTGGTTTTTAGCACTACTCATGAACATAGATATTTTCTTTAATCACATAACAAAAATTTAGATACCCTCCTCTGCAAGGGTATCGTCACATAAATGTATATATATTTATATGCAATAGTTCAAATTAATGGGCGTATTTTTGTTTTGTTTTATATATATTTTTTTTTTTTTTGTACAATGGATATGGATGGTTTCGAACAATATTAGTATTGGAGGATTATTTTGGTATTGTGCTGCTCGATGAATATTTTATGAATGTGAGAGTCCCGCTTTAAATGTCAGGGGATGGAGTGGCGAGTGGGAACAGCAGCCAGGGGATGGTAGCTTGGGTGGTTGTTGATAGTTTGAAAAAGCACACACCTGCGCCTTTATATATAACAATTCTTATTGCTACACAATTAATTTAGTATCTGCTTCGACTTCTATTAAAAAATATATATCATGCACTCTGAAATTCTCGTTCTAAACAGCGCGACGTAAAAGTTTCAACTGCCTTTTGACAAAGTGCGTTGGCATTGCAAAACAATGTACATGTTTTTATCAACAAAACAATTAATATATTATATATACACACATATGTTTGTACATATTAAGACACACACACACACACTCATAAGTGCGCATGTAGACGGCATGACGCAGCTCAAAAGGCAATTGATCAAGAAATGTTTTAGTTGTTTTTGGTTTTGTTGTTGTTGTTGTTGATAAGAAATTCGAGCACTTATCAAATTGAGCACAAAAAATATTTGCAAATTATTCTGCTTCTTTTATTTTTGTTTTTCTTGTGTGGCAACACTGGCCGCCCGTCATTTGTTAATATTTGGAGGAAATTATGAGAAAAAGGGAAAAGAGCGTTTGATTCGTAATTATCAGCGTAATTAAAACATATAATAATCAAGTTTTTCTATGTACAACAAATCGAAAGATAAATATTTGCAAGCAATTCGATAAACATCAAACAATAAAAAAGCACGAATATGTACACAAAAAGATAGCTCAAATAAATGTATATAGGTCAAGTAGTTGGAATTCACTATCAAGATTAATCAAAGGAGCAACAAGACAATTCAATATACCACACAATATCTATATACAAAAACATGATGGTCAGATCTAAAAATAAGATATTTTTATCGAAACTCTAAATTCAAAAGTTTTTAAAAAGCAAATACTTTACTCACATCAATAAGAATTTTTGAAATGAAACTTTGAAAAACTACGATTCTTATTCGTATTGTATTCTATATTGGCTTTGATTTTCTTGCAATGAATTCCAAACTATATATATCCTTGAATATATATTCTACAATTATCAAAGATTACACTAATATTTTATATATTGTAATATAATAGCATAACAGTTTTTAGTCGAGATCAAGTGTAGATATAGATATATATGTGTGTGTGTATATAGTGTGTGAATAATAGTTTAAGAGAATGGAAATGGAAATGGAACTCACCAAGTTCACCAAGTTCACCAATAATATGCTCAGCGAATTCACCCTCTGAGAGATCCTCTTCCTCCTCGTCGAAATCCTCTTCGATATCGTCGTCCTCCTCGTCGTCAACGTCCTCCTCTTCGCTGAGTTCGTCCTCTTCGGCAACGATTTGGGCGTCCTCCTCGTATGATGAATCCGCCGAGTTAACTATTTCGTAGAAACCCACCTCCTCCTCTTCGGGATCCACTTCCTCCTCCTGTTCGTCCTCGTCCTGTTCCTGCTCCGGCTCCTCGTCCTCGTCGGCGGATGTGCTATCGGCACCGGCAGCCTCAAACAGATTCTCCGCACTATTAACACCGGCGGCGACGACGACGTCTACTTTATTATTAGCCTGGGCCTCTGCCTCGGACGACGACGGCGCTATTTGCTCCGCGTCCAAGTTGACGACGTAGCCGTTCTCTGTTTCTGTCTCGTTGAACTCGTTGATTTCGCCGCTGCTGTTGTCCTTCTCACCGTGAACTTTGTCGAACAGTTGTTGCTGTTGATATTTGCGCAGACTTTTTCGATTTTTGGTGTATTTGTTGTTGTGGTTGTTGCTATTGCTTTTCTTGTCCAGACGCTTGAGAACAACGTTGCTGTTGCTGTTGTTTTTGCTATTATTGTTGGTGTTGCTGCTGTTGCTGTTGTTGGCAGCGTCGATTGCTGCAGCGGCTGCAATTACCGCCGAGCTGCTGGCCAGCAGACGTGGGCTACTGCTGTTGTTGTTGCCGACCAAATTCTCCTGTTGACATGCAGCAGTTGCTGGTGCAATTGTTGCTGTTGTTGTTGTTGGTTTGGCGCGCGAGTGGCTAACTTTGCGCGTTTTGCGGTAATAGTTGAGCAAATTGCTGCTGCTGTTGCTGCTGCTACTGTTGCTGCTGCCACGTACCGTTGCTGTTGTTGCTGCTGCTGCTGCGCGGGCAGCTGCGCCGCGCTGTGGCGTCACGCCAATGACGTGATTGCTGCAATTGCTGCCGCTGCTGCACTCACTTGTCTGCTGCTGTTTAGCGTTGTTGCTGTTGTTGTATTGGCGGGCAGCTGCCGCGCTGCTGGTGCTGGGCAGCTCCTCGGGCGATAGAGTTTTCGAGCGTGTACGCTGTGCCACACAATCGCCACCTGATGGCTGACGCAGCGGCGTCGTGCACTGCTGCAATACACTATGCGCTGGCTCGGCGGCACCTCCTCCTGCTCCTGCAGCAACAACCGATGCAGTTGCTCCTACACCTGCTCCCTTTGCTGTTGCCTCACTAGATGACGTCTGTAGATGGAGATGATGCTGCTGCTGCACGCGTCGCTTCTTGATTAGCTGCGAGCTTAGCTCCACGTACTGATCTCCACCGGGCGGCGCAACTGAAAAGGACATGACAACAACAAGGCTTTAATTAAGGTTATTTCTTTAGGAAGAGTGACTTGCTTATAAATTTACTAATTAGAGAAACCAAATACAAAAAAAAAAAACATGACAAATCGCTGTAGCTCTGCCTATGTTGACTACCTTTTTAATTTCGATAAACACAGAAGAGCTTGCTTAACATTTTTCTCTCTATATTTTTTTTCACTTCTTTTTCATACGGAAGACAAATAAAATTAATTTCATTTCAACTTGCAGTTGATTTTACATGACTCACCCTGTAACTGCTGCTATCGATAACAAAAATATTATCTATAGTTAGCCAAATATATAAGCAATATATACATATATATATATGCATATCTTTTGTATATCATATATCTTTATATCTTATATATAGATATTTCGGGCAACCGATAACTTGACACCCTGCATCAATTTCAAACAAATCGATATCTTCCAAACAAGTAAATATTCCCGCAAAATAGAATAAACAAAATATGAGAGAACCAATTGCTTACAGCTTGATTAACCTTTACTTACAGTGGCTGCTGCTACGATTTTGACTGTTGCTGTTGTTGATGTTGTTGTAATGCAGTTGATGCTGGCGCTTGCGACTGCCTGGCGATAAGGACCAATCGATGTTGCTGCAGCTGCTGCTATTGCCGTTTGGCGACCCACCAAATGCTGTTGAGCGTCGTGGTGCAGTTTCAGTGGCAGCGTTTTTCTTATTGTTGTTAGTTTTGTTGTTTGTTGTTGCTGATGTAGTTGTTGTTGTTGCTGTTGTGAGGCTGTGACCCTTGCTACGTGAACGACGTGCGGCGGCAGAGTTGGCGATGGCGGTGGCGACGGAGGATGTGGCAGGAGCAGCAGCAATTGTTGTTCTCGCTGCTGTTGCTGTTGTTGTATTGTTGCGTTTCTTGTTACTATGATTATTGCTTTTGTTGTTGTTGTTATTGTTGTTATTATTATTATTATTATTGTAACGCCGATGTGAATGGGACGCTGATGTTGTTGTAGTTGTTGCTGTTGCTGCTGTTATTATTGTACTACCGTCGTGTTGCCCCTCCGTCAATGCAGAGAGCGTTTGACTTTTAACGGACTCGGCCATAGACGACACTTAACCGCACTGGCATCGAACACACTTAACATGCCACAAACTTCACTCAGAATTGTTTGCAATTATAATCATCTGTCTTATATATCTATTTTTATATGTATATGCTAACCAACAAAAAAAATATTTATATATATAAACCACACGCTTTTAAGTTTTGCTTTGTTGTTGAATAGAGTCTTAGGATCAAATTCCTATATATTTATTTTGCTCATTTGCTCAGTTTGACTTTAGCGTTCTTTTTTTGAGTTCTTCTTCCGAGTGCACGACGCGGCAGTTAGTTTATTGCGGTCAGAGAAGTTTTGTTTTCTGTAATTGCAAATAAAAAGAAAGTAATTTTTAGTTAATTTTGTTTTGTTTCAATGTTTTTATAAATATTCTAGATTACTCAGCGTTGACAGCGTTGCTTACTAGATTATGTTCATGCTATCGATGTTTTTCTGCCTAAGTTAAAGTACCAAAAGGGAAGAAAATGTAATTTGAATAGCTAAGAGCAAAAAAAAAAACTCAATGCTGACCGATGATGACTGCTTCAATGAACAGTCAAAAGAGAATTGACCACAAAGATCTGTGGATGAGGACACGGAATAGGAAGTGCTTAGGGGTGTGTGTGTTTGTGCGTGTGCGTGAAACATCCATGTGACAAAGAACCGGCCGCATTGAGGGTAAGTCGCAGATTTATGCTGCCCCTTTCAAGGCAAACGAAGACAGGTACGTAGTGCACAGCAGGCCGAAAAGAAAATTGATAACCGGGCTAAAGAGCACAAAAGAATACAGCACAAGAGATAGCAGACACACACTGGCAGACACACTCGCTCGTCCGCGCACAGTTGAGCTGTTTTTAACATATGTGCGCAGTAAACACACACGAATATGTAAATAAATTAACAGCTGTTTGCAAGCAGCAGCAGCAGCAGCCACCAACACGTGCATGTGTGCTAGAGAGAGAGAGATAGAGAGAGAGAGCGAGTAAACTGTGCGCAGATGATTATGAGCGACTTGTTTTGAGTGGAAATTACTTACAGCGAGACGGAGCAGCTCACTCACACACACTTACACAAAGTGAGAGCGCGCACATGCTGCGCTGTTAATCAGCTGTTCTCGGCCGTTTTGTTTATATTTTGGTTTTCGTAAGCAGCGCTGCTCAGTTGGCTGACTGCCCCTTCTTCCTATGTATGTGCGAGCGAGTCAACGAGTGAGCGAACAACGAGCACGAACTCGTTTCTGCTTGAGTGTGTGTGTGTGCGCGTGTGTGTGTGTGTGTAACTTGTCATGCTTGTTTCGCTGCGAGAACCCAATGCAAGATCCCGCATATACACACACACAAAAACGCACGTATTGAAAATACAATAAGCACACGCGACGAATAAAAGATAAAAAGCAAAACACAGCTAAGCAAAGCAAAGCAAGCAATTGTAGCAGTGATGCACCGCAAAGGCAGAAGACAGACAGACAGACACAAAGCAGCAGCGACCGAAACGTGTTGGCAACGTCGACGGCGTCTTCGCCCTTTGCAGCGCAGTTAGCGCTGGCAACAAAGTCGCCAGCTACACTTACAAAATAAATGCGTAGTTTGTGAGCGTGTGTGTGTGTTTGTCGTTGTCGTCGTTACAACAAATATGACACGAAATCCAACAAACATTGAGTGCAAACCAACTGTCAATCACAACTATTAAGGAAAATAAAAAAAATTACGAAAACGAATTGAGTTCAAGGTCGCTTCAAATGAAACCAGCAAAGACGTCGACGTCGACACACGCTACATGAAAATTTGTTTGAATTTGGATTTTTTTCTTCGTTTTTTTGTTTTACATTTTTAGCTAGTTTTGTCCGAGTGGAAACCACAAGTTTTTCACACCAAAAAAATAAACAGATACCAAATAAAAAATGTGCGAGGCCGCAAATGGTAGATACATACATATCTATATATCTATGTGTGTGCCTGTGTGTGAGACAGCAGCATTTTCCTTGCGTGTGGTGGCAACTCCAAACATATGGCATGTAGTTATCGCTTGTTGTCAATATTGTTTAATTCTTTATCAGCAGCAATTGAAAAATGTGAAGGGCCTCCAATTGTACATAATGTGTGTATGAATATGTATGTCTGTATGTATGTATTTATGTACATTGCAATTACCTTTTGTGCTAGACTTGTTGTCAACCCTGTTGGCAAACATAATTGATAACATTTGTATGTATATATGTGTGTGTCTATCCCCTTTCCCCACCCGTAACTCACTGACCCGCTCGCTTGCTCACTCTATCTGTAATTCATACCCCCTCTCCACCCTTCCGCCCAAAAATTAAACACCTACCCCGTAGATTTATACAGCGTGCTATTGTTTGTAACTTATTTGTATACATATACATATACATATGTATGTGTGTTTGTAAACTCAGTCGAGCATATGACGCCAGCAACAGCACCAACAACAACGACAATGTACGTCGTAACGGGGCTGCAAGCATACAAAACAGTGTTGCCTCGTCAAGTTTTTTTTCGTTTGAATTTTTTACTATTCATATTCGTTGTTTGTGTTTTATGTTGGTTTTCTATTTTCTATTACGAAACTGCTTTTGTGGCCTACGCACAGCTGAGCAGCAACAGCGTGTGTGTGCGAGCGAGAGAATGATAGGAAAGTGGGGTGTGCGTGTGGTCGTGTGCTTGTATGTGTGGGCAGCAACAACAGCGCTTTCTACAGGCTGCTGCTGCTGGCTGGCTGGGGCTACAAAATAAAGGGTCGCCCGTCCATCGTCGTCACTGTGGCAACTTAACCGTAAAAAGTAAAGTAAGTTGCATTGGAAAATTTCTGTGTTGCGCACTCTTCAAATAAAACTTTAGCTTTGAGAGGCGCAGCAGGTCAACAAAGTAAAGAACGTAATAAATAAGCACTTGCTTAAAAGGTAGATTTTTACCGGTCTGGCAACCCTACAGCTGCTAGTGGCAAATGAAAAAAAAACAAAATGCAAGGTAAAAAAAGTGCATGCAACAATTAACTAGAAACCTTGCCATTGTTAATGTTATTTGTTGTTGTGGTTGCCACGCAGTGAAGGTCTGTCCAAAGTGGGCGGTTTCTGATTGGATGACTGACTGCTTGAGGGCCTTTGGCGATATATGGAATTAAGTGTGACCCACCTCTTCCTTCATAATAAATATATGTAACTATTGCAAAGTTAGAAAATATCAAAAGCTTCACTACTTGTTGCCACAGCTACTAAATAAGAAATAGAAGTAGAACGAGGCGATAATTATATAACTATAACTATATATATACACACATATATATAAGTCACAATTCTAGGTATTTACTCAATTCCGTTATATACAAGGCGTATGTAAACACTGACACCAACACACACACACAGTACAAAACTTCTTTACTGTTATACACACGACGATAGAGAATAGAAATATATAAGGAAAGAACGCACGAATTTTATGCATTTACATGGTAAAAAAAAAAAAATGGAAATGCGAAAAGTGAAATATTTTTTCCCACAAATTTTATTAAACTGCATCGCGAAAAGTTATTTATATTTTTACTACGTTTCCATATTTACTTTTCCTTTAACTGTACGCTGTGCTCCTCTTCCTTTGCTGACGACTGACTGTCGATTTCCAGTATAAATACAAAAAGGGAGCATAGGCAGAGCAGACCAGAATTAAAGCAGCGACGTTGACGTCGTCGTTTGCCTCGGCATGAACGCACGAGGGGAAGCAGCAGCACATAAGTCGCTCGCACTCACACATACACACACACATACACACACACACACACACACATAGTCAAGCAGCCCCAATCTCGCACACACGCACACCATGAAGAAAATGTATACGTATGTAACGTATAACCGTATATAACGCAAGCAAAGCGAAGAGGCAAAAGAAATGGTTGGAAATAAACGACGAATGCACAGCACACAAAGCATTTCAACCATTTTGCATGCTATTTAAGAACACAATTCGATACCCAAAAAAAAAAAAAAATTAAAACGCGACTACGTAATTTATTAATAATATACTGCAAATTATATAAATGTACTGCACCTTTTTTTCAAAGCAATGCCTTGTACATGATGTACTTGCACACAGTCTTATATAGCAAAGAAAAAAAACAAAAGAGAGAGAGATAGAGAAAAAAAACGTTTGCCTCATCGGCACGAACACATTTTTTCAGCTGTGCACGCACTCAAAACCAACTCACGACTGACAGTCAGCAGCAGCGGTAACAGCAGCAGCAGAAACGACAACGTCAATGATGGCGACCGACGAATAAACGAGCTCAACTCAATGAGTGAGAGTGAGTCAGGCGAGAAATTTGTTTGAGTTGAACACTCATCACTCAAATGTACATAAAAATTCAATATGCTTTTAAGTTAAGCACGTTAACTTTGCAATTAATACAAGTTCATTTTAGAATTAATATCCAATATATCATAGAGACGACAACGGGCAGCACAAAAGCACTCAGTTCCTCTCAGCACAGTTGTTAAGCGGGTCACTCAACCCTTGTCGCTGACTGGCAATGAGGTCAACAAACCGACTCTCAGCAGCCATTGGACTAACTTATTTCTTTTTGTTATTTAGTCAAAGTGCGACGCACTTAAAATATTAACGCAACAAATGGGCCTTTTACACGGCACTCAACAACTTTCCATTGGGACTCGAACAAATTTCTTTGCCGTAAGGGAAATTTAAATTCCACTCAATATGGCCATGGCTGTTGAGCAAAGAAAGAGTGAGAGAGAGAAATGAGTGCTCTTTTCTTCTTCCTTTTTGCACCCAAGTAATACTTTGGGGTTGGAACGTGCACTCGTTGCTCGCTGGAATTTTGTTGTTTTTTCTTTTCTGTTACTTGTGACTCGTGCGTTAGAGCGAAATTTGTATTGAACTGATCAGCTGATCGCATGAGTGTTTTAATATATCGACTTGTGTATGTGTGTGTGAAAGGTTCAACTTGGGTTACACAAACGAACAGCCGTTTTGTGAAGTTGTGACTAATCTTCTAATAGGGTCTGTCTCTTTGTGTGGCTAGGTGACCTGTCTACATTCACACACACACACACACTCTACTTTGAAATACGCAATTAAACGAGCAACCAAGAAACGAGGAGAGACAAGGGCTACAAAAAAATGCCTGATAAAAATGGCAGCCATTTATTTATTTAAATACAGTGGTTCACAACAGCGAGATCAAGAAATTCAAAATGTCACTTTGACGATACTCATTTCAATTAATTTATTTTTATTTTTTTTTACAACACAGAAATGACCAAATTCTTATTTATTATTATTATTCTCGGGATTCGCAGCGTTCTAATTTGAAAGGGAAAGACCACTATATAGATAACACTGTTCATCATCATCTATTTCGATTATTCTTTATTTTATTTTTTGCTTTGTAGCAATCGCAGCCGAGCCCAAAATGGCTGTTCAACTGTGTACTTTTTTTTTTCCAACGAGAGCGAATTTTTTTTTTGAGCGGCCCACGCAGCGTTGACTGATTTGAGAGTGCGGCGCTGTCGACGTCGCTGCAGGCGTCACAGCTGGCCTACTTGAAAGAGCTACTCACCTGCAATCGCACTGCATTACAGCAGCAACAACAATAACAGTACGCTATAAATGCAAGTCAATTGCAATTGCCAGTGAGCAAACAGAAGCGGTTGTAAAACCAGTAACAAAAATACACAATAAATATGCAAACAAACAACAACAGCACACACACATGCACGTGTATAGCCATATGCATTTGTATGTGTTCTACACTCAGGCAATGCAACAAGCTCAAGAGAGCGAGCGCTCGGTCGACGTCGCTGCCGCTGCATATAAAAACAGGCCACGGCCTGCGCTGCAGCCGACGACGTCGCTGCCAAATTGGGGCGAAAAAGCGCACAGCACAAAACAAAAAAAACAAACTTTCGCTTATCGATGTTGCCTGACAATTTGCATATCGATATCAAGTATATTTTACATACATATCGGTAATCGTTTTCTACGGGTTCCTTCCTCCTCTTCCTAAAAACAAACAGCTGCAAATAAAAACAAAGGCTTATTTATCAATACTGGCTGCCCATCTGATATGCACATTCGGCGACATATCGGTAACATTTATTTTGACTTAATTTAAACACAAAGAGCTGGTAGAATGGAGTGCAACACGACATTGCTGCGAATATCCAGTTGCAGGCAAATGCAATTCTCGTTATCGATACCTATCGATATCTCCTCATTGGGCAATTGGAGTGCATTGAAAAACGCCGACATTTTGCGCGAATCCACAGAACAGGAGACTTCCGTCGACTGGTGGCTAGAGTTCCCCTCACCCTTGTGCAGCAAGAGTCGAGTGAAACGCGACGTAATCGTTGCCATCTCCGATTCGGAGACCAGATTCAGTTCACCATTGGTGCTGCCATGGAATATCAGACTTGGCGAAATGTTCTTCAGCTTGTCAACTAGACTTCGCATGAGACGCAGCGAGGGCACGCCGAGCACAATCTGAGGTGACGGCATCTTGGGCAACATAAATGCGGGCCACTCGCTGGCGGGGATTATGGTGGCGGGCACGTCGTGCACCATTTCGCGCGGCTCAGCTGAACTGGGCGACACAACCGATGCAATCACCGAGATGCAGGGAAATTGGATTTGCTTCAATTTCAACTTGCAACTGTGCACAGTGCTGGTGGTGCCCGAGCGGAGCACGGCGAGCGCTCGACTCAGATGCGTGGCGGACATAACGAGCACAATGAAGTCCTCATCGTCGCCGGGATGTGCTGCTGCTGGTGTCATTTTATATTCGGGAAAGTAATCTTTAGCCGCAATGGTCACCCAGACGAGCGGCGACGATGTCGAGCAGTGCTCCTCGTTAACAATGAAATGCATCCGTTCCTGTCCCAATATCATCACGCAATCCTTAGCCAGCTTGGCCAATGTGGCAACTATCGCCTGGAATTCGCGCATATAGAGCACATCCAGCATTTTGGCACGGAATTTCATCGCTAAGGGATGATTCGATGGGTGCCAACAACAAACCAGAAGAAGAAACAAAAAGAAAAAACAAAAATCAAACGCTGACTTCCAAAAAAAAAAGAAGGAAAAAACAAGACATCAGGAAGAGAGATTGCAGAATCAACCAGCTAAAAAAGGACGAATCATTTGTACTCTACAAGATATGCCGATCGACACAGATCGTTATCAATTTCAATCAATCAAATAAGTACATATCGATATCATATGTTTATATTATCGATTTATTTTTGTAGAAACTAGCCCGACCAGAAGAAATTAACTATTTGTGTATTCTAAATTCGATAAATTTAAATTGTGATTTTTATATGTATATAATTTGCATGCCACCTGTCGTAAGAGTTACAACCAACATACTTCGTTTTTCAAATTTAAAATGGGTGCAAGTGGGGAACGTGACAGATTTGCAACACGAAGAGTCCAGGAATAGGACCGCTGCCAGTGCTGGGCCTGGCACCCGAGAGTTCAATGTACAAAGGCGCACTTATACACAAATAAAAACACACATATATATATATATATAAACATATATATATATATATATATATATATATATAGCTAACAAAGTCAGCCAGGCGATGGGCAAACAAAGCGCAGAGAGCAAAATCGAGTTGTGTTTTGGCTGTTCGAGGGGGCGAACGAAACCAACACGGAAAGGGAATGGGTATCGAGTGTAGAGTAAATGAAACGCACCAATACCATCGCACTCTATCCCTCTCACTCACACTCACACACACATACACACACACATACACAAGCACACACGTTCTACTGCTATGCATACAAAGTTGCCGTCAGACAAACGAGACAGACACACAACAGGATTTTGTTTTTATTCGCTGCACTGTGGAGTTGAAAAAAAAGAAAAGGAAGGCGTCTGCTGTACGGCAAAGTTGAAGAAGTGGCAGGCAGCATTTTGTGGTCTAAGGACGGGAGTTGCCGCAGCAGCAGCAAAAACGGAAATCAAATTATGTATATGCGATCCGTAGGCGGCGCAGGCAATTGACGGCTCGGGAGTGTTGCATGTGCGTGTGTGTGTGCTTGTATTGGGACTCTTGGGGTCAAAATATTTTCCTTTGGCAGTTCAATCAACTTTCAAGGTTGACTTATGAGACGACAGCGTTGCCATATTGTTGATATACCCTGCAAACACACACGACCTTCATACCTTTTTTTTTACCATGCTCTCTTATAATTATAATTGTCTTGCTCCATATTTAACAATAACAATATCTCAAGCTATCGATACTTATACATTTTAAGATGACCTTGGTGTTCTTAGGGCTCTTTGTAAAACTCTTTATATAAAGCATTAAATCACAGATTCTAAATTCAAATGCCAATAATGACGTCACACAACGACGTGTGTGTATTTCATAAGTATGTGTAAGTAGTATTTAAATCAAACGCTGATCATTATGTGCCCAGAGTTGTTTTTTTCTTCTCTTGCTGCTGCAAGTCATTACTTGCAAAAAAAATTAAACACGAGTTGCCAATCACCAGAACAAACCACCTTCAGAGAAACTCAATGCAATGTGACCATAAAAGCTAAACAAATACAAATATAAAAGCAATAACAACAACAACACATATAAAAAGCTGACAAGAGGCCAAAATTAAATACAAATAAAATACGGTGTGCGCATGAAATTCAACGTGACTGCTTATTTTGCTGCATTGAGGGAGGCACACATACATCGATTTAGTAGACGCTGCCGTTCGCTCGTAGCATAAATAAAAGAGAAAGTAAAAACTTAACAAGATGCTGCGCGCATCAGTCAGGAAAAATGAAGCACACATACATAACGATATATAGAGATAATATTCAAAATAGAATTAAACAAATCATTATACACACACAAACATACATACACTCATGGCTAGGGGCACTCGACAATAACTGTTGTTGGGTGATCAGCGTTGCCAACCAATTTGAGATCATCGTTGCTCGTCCAACAATTGTATGTGCACATATATATTTATTTTTCTAATTCGAATCGATATCACAAAGAACCGACCACAAATGTACACACACATTTGAGTCTAACTCATCCGTATTTTCTTGTAAAAATCAATATCGAAGAAGCTTTCAACTCACACACAATTTTATTATCGCTTTCAGCTTGCTTGCACTTTTCGTATTTATTCACATAGCATAGTTTGGCGATATGTTTTTGTCAGTTATTTTGTTGCAAGTGCAATAAATGTACACGATTCGTTTACAAAATATCGAATAAAAAAGCAATCAAAATCAAATGCAAAATGGTCGACATTTTGTTTTCTGTCTGTCTGGTTGTCGCTCGCTGCTGTTGAGGCTGCTGATTCGACGAAATACACAAATATGTGTGTGCATGTATATGTCGGACTGTGTATGTGTGTGTTGAGTATGACTGTTGTGTGTGTGAGTGGCCAGCGGAGCCTCAAATTATGCTGCTGCTTGTCTGTCGCAACAATTATACATTTTGCATTTACATAACTGTGAACGATCATGTCTACGTCGATATGCTCAATTGTTACACTTACCTTTTAAGCTATTAATTAAGAATGATTTGCACAATTTTCACAGCTTTTTCTGTTTTATTATTTATTTCCACACATAACAGAACTCCGACTCCGACACTGCTGTCAACAGCACAGGTCACACTGTTCTCGAAATCAGTATTACCGAAGAGCGCAATGTAAAATATCACCAAAAACTCTGGCATCAGCCAAACGATATATCGATAAGAGCCAATTAAATGAATATATTACAATGGCATAAGCTGCTCAGTACAATTACTATATATTTTACATAGGTATAGCTGGATTAATTGGAAGTTAGTAACTATTGCGTTTGTATGACAAATTTCCTGTATATTTACATATATCGTATCCGCCTTTGTAGGCAGCAAAAAAATATCGATACACAATCAACATCTCTAATTATAATAATTTGGTTTTATTTCACGGCAAAACAAACAACAACCACAAAAGCAGCATCAAAGCTGCTCCTAAATTGTTGTATTAAATAAATTCAAACTGTGGAAAGTATTTGAAATCGATATAGACATCGATAGGCAGAATCACAAACACCTAGTCACTGCAACGACGCTCCCAATAGGAACGCGCCAACGGTAATAAAAAAGACAACAACAAGCGGCTTATCAGCAAAGAGACAACAACAAAAAGTGCCCCATATTAATTAATAGCTTCAGAGTCAAACATTAACAAAACGAAAAACTCAATTCTCCTGTAGCGTTTGTCATCGCAAAACCATCGACAATTGCACTAAGATAATTTAGCCCGGTGTTGATTCTGTGACGTGTCCGCAAAAATTAACCAGCGATTATACAAAAAGAAAAATGTGCGGATCTCCAAAGACAACGGCTGGCACCGGCGCCCGTGCCCTCATTCTGGTGGGCGGTTATGGGACACGTCTGCGTCCGCTGACACTGAGCACGCCCAAGCCGCTGGTGGAGTTTGCCAATAAGCCTATTTTGCTGCATCAATTGGAGGCGCTCGTCGATGCCGGCTGTCGTCAGGTGAGTTTTTATATGCAACCAGAGCAAAAGAGTTATATAAAATAGTTATATTTTCCTTTAAGGTCATTCTGGCGGTTAGCTACCGAGCGGAGCAAATGGAGCAGGAGCTGAAAGTGGAGGCCGACAAGCTGGGAGTGGACCTGATCTTTTCACACGAAACCGAACCGCTGGGCACAGCTGGTCCCTTGGCCCTGGCCAAGCCTCTCTTGTCCGCCAGTGCGGAACCCTTCTTCGTACTCAATTCGGATGTGATTTGTGATTTTCCATTTAAGCAACTGGTGCAATTCCATCGCAATCACGGTAAAGAGGGCACCATTGTGGTGACCAAAGTGGAGGAGCCTTCCAAATATGGTGTTGTACTCTACGATGAACTGGGTTGCATCAAGAATTTCATTGAGAAGCCGCAGGAGTTTATCAGCAACAAAATCAATGCGGGCATTTACATTTTTAATCCATCGGTCTTGGAACGCATCGAGGTGAAGCCCACGTCCATTGAGAAGGAGGTGTTTCCCGACATGGCGCTGCAGCAGCAGCTCTACGCCATGGAGCTGACCGGCTTCTGGATGGATATTGGACAGCCCAAAGACTTTCTAACCGGTGCGCTCTCCAATTCATTGAGTCATATCTTCTTCAATTGCCCCACTTACGTTTTTATCAGTTAACGCTTCAGTTTTTGTTGCGACATGTCTTTAATCAAATTTTGTGCACACAGTGCGACTTTTATCTGGTTTCCTAGAACCTATGCCAGTAGCTGAAAAGCAATTTTAAATGCTTGATAGAACGATGGTACTAATGACTCGTAATTGCTGATAAAGCGTCTCATGTTTATTAATACCTGATTTTTGGATTTCCACCTTTGAATTTACAATAGAAAACTGAATTGATCTATTTGTATCTCGGTTTTTTAGTTTCTCTTATAGCATATATACAAATAGAACAACTGTGGTATCTATGTTCCAATAACCAAGTTCATTTTACTTTCAGGGATGTGCCTTTATCTTAGCTCGCTGCGTCAGAAGCAATCACCCAAATTGTATACTGGACCCGGCGTTGTAGGCAATGTGCTGGTGGATGCCACAGCTAAAATCGGCGAGGGTTGTCGCATCGGGCCGAATGTAACAATTGGACCCGATGTCATCATCGAGGATGGTGTCTGCATTAAGCGCTCAACGATTTTGAAGGGGGCAATTGTGCGTTCGCATTCCTGGCTGGACTCCTGCATTGTGGGCTGGCGCTCGACTGTCGGTCGCTGGGTGCGCATCGAAGGCATCACTGTGCTCGGCGAGGATGTCATTGTCAAGGACGAGCTGTATGTGAACGGTGGCCAGGTGTTGCCGCACAAGAGCATCGCTGCCAGTGTGCCGGAGCCCCAGATAATTATGTGAAGCAAATATTTATTTGCCATTTTTTTTTGTAAATAGTATTTAATTATTTTTGTCATCTGGTATTCGATGCACCGATTGCCTTGTGTGTGTGTGCGCGAGTGTGTGTTTGTGTGTGTGCGTGTTTGTTTAAATGTTGCTAACGTTTAAGCTGAATGTTTTGCCAATATTCTAAATTACATTTCCATTAATTAGCCTGGCTAAAAGTGCATAATTTACTTAAGACTTTGAACGCAATTTCAAATGAAGTCCGAAATGCAGTTAATGCAACAGCATTGACCAATACTTTTTCACTAACAATGCATAAGTATTTTTATACAGCTATATTGTAGTCAAATATACGAAATATAAATATATTATATGTATTATAAAATTTAAAAAAAAAACCCATACAAATAATCAGCTGTTTCAAGTTAAAAGCGTTGCCGGGCAACGTCTTTTTGGGGCCACAAAACACAACAAACAATTAAAAGAAACTTGTGCGAAAAATGTTCAAAAACCTGGAGATAATCAGCAAAATGGATTCACTGCATCAGGAGCTGCTCTGGGAGGATAGGGAAGTCAAATTCGATACACCACATTTGTGAGTAAGGCAATTCAATTGCATCATAGCCTAATCATTGGTCAATCCCTTCCAGACACAATCGTCTACATATTGGCGAGAAAATATTGGATACGGTTTGCCACATAGAGGACAGCAAGGGTAATCCGGGGGATACGGGCAAACTGCTGGTCACCAATTTGCGCATCATTTGGCATTCACTCGTCCACAAGAAGTTCAATTTGTGTACGTCAAATTTAAAGAAAAACTTCTATAAAAATCTAAGAATTTAACCAGGCACTGCCATTAGTTATGCTTTTATATATGTATATAGCTTAATCTTGTATTCATTCATGTGATTGATTACCTTCTTGCAGCCATTGGCTATGCTCGGATTGCCAATATGAGCACCCGAATGGTTCACTTGCATACCAAGAACCGCATTCCCAGCCAGGCGCTCTACATTTTGGCCATTAGCAATGAGACCCGTTTCGAGTTTCTCTTCACGGATGTGTCCGGCGAAACGGCGCGTCGGGATCAGCCCATCTTTGCCAGCGTCTCCGATGTGCATCAGTGAGTTGGCAATCAGTGCTTGCTTAAATAGTTTTTCAATTAAAATTGTATCCATTCTGAAAACAGCTTGTATCAGCGCACGTTTCTGTATCGGGATCTGAAACTGCGCGGCGCCATTGTCCAGGCGGGTCAACTGATCCTGTTGCCAGATGAGCGGGTGTTCAGCGAGGTGCAGGGCGTCTGGAATCTGTCGAGTGATCAGGGCAATCTGGGCAGCTTTGTGGTGACCAATATACGTCTGGTGTGGTTTGCCGATGCCAACGAAACCTTCAACATTAGTCTGCCCTATTTGCAGCTGGATAACGTGAGTCCGTTTCTCAGTCCCATTAGACAATTGAATCCCAACTCCCTAAATTTATTTACTTTGTAGCTGCGCATACGCGAGTCCAAATATGGTCCGGCTTTGGTTATACAAACAGCGGAGACGGGTGGCAATTATATGCTGGGCTTTCGCATCGATCCCGTAGAGCGTTTGAATGAACTGTTTAAGGAATTGTGCTCGCTGCACACCATCTATAAGGATCAGCCCAATTTTGGCATTCAGTACGATCCGCAGGATGCACGTCAGCGGTTGGCTGCCGCCGCCGAGGAGGCCGCCCAGGCAACACAATTTAAGATCGACAACTATCAGGAGCTGGACGAGCGTCAGGAACGCGAAATCAATACCAAGCTGAACAAGTATCTTGCGGCTGGCAGCCTGGGCATATTGAGCACGGATCAAACGACAGTTGAGCCCATCTATTGCAAGGAGCTGGGCTTTGCCATGGAACCCATACCCAATGGCTACAAGCTGCAGGATCTGTGGAATGTTCTGCCCACCAAAATGATCGATGAGTGAACATTACAAATGATTTACATTTCGGATTTCTACATAATCTTAAAAATATCATTTAATAAAATGTAGAAAATTAATTAATACTAATATATATATATAATAATAATAATATAATAATTATTATATTAATATGTGAATGGGATTTAAGATCTGTGTGAAATGAAAAGATGGAACTGATAGTGATTTGAAGAAGAGTACATAATTAACAAATAATGAATGGCGTTTAAGATTCTCATGAAATGATAATATGGAGGAAGAATAGATAGAAGTATGTTCTAATATTCTGATTATTGGGAGAAGTTTAGAAAGATCTGATCAATAACTGAATAACAGAAGAATAATAGACAACTAATGGATGGGAGTTAAAATTTGCAGGAAATGAGAACATGAAAGTAGATTTTAGTAGGAATTCTCAGAGTTAAAATACCACTGCAGCGAACAGAGTCTCTGATTCTTGAGACTATATTGATCTGATGAACATTTGAACAAGAGTACCTAAATTCTGTTTCCCAAAATTTCTTCTTCATAGATTATCATCATATATAAATTAAAATATTTGTTTTAACTTTTTACGGATTTATTGACGCATACTCGCATAACTCGCTGTGTGTTTTAAGTAATTTTGCTCTAGTTTGTGTGTGTTGTTTTTTAGTTTAATCCGGTATTTTGGAATCGGCTAAAACTGTTGAGGGGCTTAGTGCTAATACATAATTTGTGAGTTGTTTTCGGTTGCCCAATTCGTTGGTATCTCAATGCTTAGGTATATTTAATTATAGTTTTTCTAATTTCATTTTAATATTTTAATTGGGGGTTGGAGAATTGTCAAATTGCGTTCATATCTCTGTGGCATTAAAAGCAAACGAATTTTGTTGTCTTTTGCTTTGATTTATAAATTAATTCATATCACAACACACAGTTGATTTGACCGGCATATGCATTATAGTCAATGATCAGATATATATATATATATATATATATGTAGATTTGTTTTTGTTATTTATATAAGAGAATGAATTGTTTTCTTTGCTTACTAAGCTATAAATTTTAACAAACTTAATTAAATGTAGGAAATTAATATTAGTTGTGGCGTTTTCTCTGCATTTCATTTTGCCTCACAGGCAATATGAATACATTATACATACATACATTATACGATTGTAATTAAGAAAAATTCTAAAGTGTCTAATGGAAATTATAATGAAAATTCGGCCGACAAACGATACACATTAGTTGTATGCAATATAATTAAATGTTAAACAAAATATAATAATCAGGAATGGCTTATAAATTACTATTTGTATTGGTTTCGTTTTGTTTTGTTTTTTTTTTTTATACATTTTTTATATTTTGAAGTTTTATATTGTTTTTTGTTTTGTTTTTAATACTTTGCTTACGTTTTAAGTTGTTTTTTTTTTTTTGTATTTTTTTTTTATTTTAGTTCTTAATGGGTTTAAGTTGCATATCAGTTGCCGTTTAATGAGTTCTCTTATTTTTTCCTTTTTTGTTTTTAATATTCGTTTAGTTATGCATCAGTCTTGAAGACCAGTTTATATTATTATATAGCGTAGAGTTTACCAAACATTTTTACAGGAAGCAAGTGAAACAGAAAATGAAACACATTTACAAATAAGAAACTAAAGGTACACAAATCATCAGCAGTTTGGAGAGAAATACTTGTCAGCAACTTAAAACATGGAACACAAATTGGACAATGAAACGTACAAAAAACAAATCAAAACGCTTCGCTCGATCTACGCTAAAGTAAATATTTGAATTTGCTTGGATTTCACTTGCGATCAAATGGAAAAACAACAATGGAATCGCGCTTACGACTTAATCAGTAACTAGAACCAAAAGACTTAGGATTTGTAGTTGTTGTTGGTTTGTGTCTGTGTTTTGTTGTTGTTGTTTGCGTCTCTGCGTTGTTTAAGCAGTTTTTGGGCATCGTATTACAAATAGGGAGGCCGGCCTTGAGCCGTGTTCCAATGACTTAACTGCATTAATAAAAAAATACCTAGCTGAGAGGGATGGGAGTGTTGTGTGTGTGGGTGTGTATTTGTGTGTGTGTGTAACAAGCTGTTGCGCTTATTTGCTGGTGGAGATCTGTAGACGCGCACGCTGACGTGTCATGGGCGGCGAGTGAAGCACTGGCGATATGGTTGTGCTGACAGTCGCTGCTGCTGCAGGGAGTCGCTTGCGCTTCGGTGCAGCAGCTGTTGTGGCAGCTGTTTTGGTTGCACTTTCCTTAGCTTTTGCTGTTGCTGCTGATGATGTTTTGCGACGTCGCCTGGCCGTTAAGAGGGGCGCCCGACGTCGTCGCTTGGTGGCCACTTTTTTTGGCTTGGCGCTGTCTCTACCCGTGGAGTCAGTTGCTGCAACTGCAACTGCGTCTGCCTCTGCTACAATTTCTGCGACTGCGGTGGAGCCTGAGCCTGAGGTGTGTGTGTTGCTGTTGTCCTTGGTTTGAGTGTTGCTGCTGCTGCTGCCGGCTTCGTGTAGCACAAATGCCGATGCAGTTACATTTTGTGGCAATGTCAGTGTGCTGCAAGCAAACTATCTTTAGTGAAAAGTGCTCCCATTTGTAAGTGCAACTTACCTGAGCTTTGGCTTGAGTGCAACCGGCTCCTTGGGTGCTTCCCGCTCCTTGCCAACCACCTCCTGGCCGTGCTCCTCGTCGCCCTCGTCCTCTTCCTCATCGTCGTCATCCTCATCTTCATCTTCACTATATAAATTGGAAGCAGGCGGCATAAATTTGGGCCGCTTCAGTTCGAAGCCGCGTGCTTTGTTGCTAAACGTTGAAAAATGGACAAAACTTGAATACAAATTGAAAAAATTAAATAAAATCGAAGGTGGCATTTACATTTTGATTGGCGTTATGGGCATGGGACGAATGGGCTTGAACAGGCACATGTCCATGAGTAAGCTATCAGTGCTGGGATTTCGTTTGCGGGCCGACGCCGAACGATGCAAGGCGCTCGGCGCCACAGCGAAATGACGGAGAAATGCTGGCGTCGGCTTGATATATGGCTGGCTGCGCACAAACTGGCGACTGGCGAGGCTTGTTTCTGCCGACGTGCCCATAATGCCACCGGTGCCATAAACTTTACGCTTCAGTTTGTGACTGGTGTCCGGTTGCTTCGGCGGTGCTTGCGGCGGCGCTGCAATCACTGGCGTTGTTGCGGACATGACCAGTGCCTTTTGGACCGTATCCTTGATGAATTCGGTGCCGCGATGCAAGCGCACAGAGAGCGTTTTCATGAAAGCTGTGGCTGCATTACTGGCTATGCTGTTGCTGCTGTTGCTCGTGTTGCACGTGGTAGCTGCTGCTGCAGCTGCTCCAGTGGTGGGTGTGCTCGTGCTGTTGCCTGAGCTGACATTGTTCTTGCTACTGCTGCTGTTGCTGCTGTTGTTGTTATTGTTATTAATTTTGCGTGCCGCACTGGATTCGTAGGTGTAGGGCGCTGCTTGCCCCGCTGCCGCCAGCAACATTATTATTATTATTATTGCTGGTTGAAGCAGCTGCGCTCTGCTTTAACTTTGGCTCCTTCTCCACCTTCACCGCCTCTTGCGGCAGCCTCCGCCTCCTCCTGCTGCTGATGTTGTTGTTGTTGTGTTTGCTCCGTCAGCTGCTGCTCGGCCAGCGTTTTTAACATGCCCGGCGTTTTATTTGACTTGCGCTCGCTACAATTATTAATGCATTTTCTTAACAAATCGTAATGTTTATTTTTATGTATTTTTTGTTATATTATTTTTTTTGAGATTTTCTTTTGTTATTTTGCAGTTGTGTATTTTGGTGCTGCTTCTTCACATCAAGTTTTTGCCAGTTGCGGCTTGCACGCTGCTTCGTACAACTACAACTACACTGCTACAAATTCAACATTCAACATACTCCTACTACTGCTTTGCCTTCTGCCATTGTTCCCTTTTTTTGGGGCTTTCGCGTCGCATTCACCGGTTTTGTTGTGTACACAAGCGCCATATGCAATCGCTCTTATTGTTTGTTATGTGCTCACAGCAGCCTACGCACTTTGTTTAATCTTGGTTTTTTTGTATTTGTTTTGTTGCGGTTGCTGAATTTTTACGTTTTGCTATGTTTTACACCTTACTACTGCTTGTTCATTCATCAGCAGCTGTAGTTCGTCTTTATTCACCACACCGAACGGTGGCTTGAGCACTCAACAGTTGCGCAACTGTTGAATCTGAGCATCATGCAATGTACAAAATACACATAAATTATGTAGTAATGAAGTTCAAGAATCATTGCTTGTTTTTATATTTTTACTAATGTACAGTATTCATTATATTCAATGTTTATTTTCATTTGGCATAATCAGCTGAAGCCCCCAACAAACATTTTTTGTTGTTTTTTTTTTTAAGTGTGTACACACTGTTAGGTGTATTCAAGCAATTCTGGTTACAAAATATTTGTTTTTCATCCAGACTCAATTTTTTTAGAGCGATTGCATAATTAGTCTGCTTTGTAAAGTAAGAGTCCATTTTGATTCGATTAATTGGCTTTAAGTCTAAATGGCATATTTAAAGCGTATGTACATTTCGCGCTTTCCATTTTGAGCGTAATAAGTGTGACCAAATTTGTGATGGGCTGTTTCAACAAACGAAATCGAACAGTCTGGCAGCCTTGGCTACCGCACGTTAAATTTAATGGCAGAAATAAATACGTCGATTCAAATCGATATAAAAAAAAAACTGATTTAAATAGTCAACTCAATGCTATTTGCGGCGCCAATGCCGCCAATAAGTATAAATTGAAAATTGAAATTAAATGAGTGCAGCTACTGTATGCTGTCGCAAATGGCCAATTTGCAGTCATAGATCGCGCATCGTTATCAAGTTTATTATGGCTAAATAATTGCCAAAGCGCATGCGGCGCACAATTTACGAGCCTGCGCCACAACCACAGAGGAAGGCACGAGTGGCCACCACCGACCCAACCACAACCACCTACAGGGTTGCACTGGCGATGCTGTCGCTGCTTTGCTGCTGCTGTGACAGAAGTGTTTTTTGGCATGTCAAATGGCAGTTGAAGCGCCCCCCGCCGCCGCCCCTCCCCATCCCTTTCGCCTGACCATTGACGAAACTTTTAATAACATTATGAAAACGCGTGTTTTACAGCTCATCAGAGTCCGATGCATTTTTTTTGTGGTTTTGCGTGCACTCTTTTTGCCTGCTCGTCGCTAGCCGCTCTGCCAGTTAAAAAGAGTCAAGAGTCCTCGCGGCTGGAGGTCGCTTGGGGGTCGTCGTCATCGTCATCGTCGACAGCGGCGCCCTCCCATTGTGGCACCATGCAGCCACGCGCGTCGCCTTCTGCGCAACCGCAGCCACAAAAGCCAGAAGCAGCTACAAATACACTGACACACACACATACATGCACACATAGCTGCTGTTCAGGCGTTGACTGTGCAGGCTATAATTTTCCAATATGCAAATGTGTTTGTGACACAAAATGGCGCAGCGCTTGTTGAACGAACGCACGTGGGACGTTTACCACAGACCGCATCCAATTGCGCCGTCGTGCGCTCATTAAGGATCCGTTGAGTGAGAGCGAGAGAGTAGGAGAGAAAGAGAGCGATAGCTGTTTAGAGTGGCCAACCATTGACAATTATGCAATTTTGCAGCACGACTAAACAAATTATTTTCACTAAATTAATTCTTAACTCGTGCTGGGCGCACTTTTTATTTTATTTTTTTTTGTTTTCGAGAACACGTACGCCTTCTAGCCTAACCTCAATTATGGGCATACGAAAATCATGATGAGCGTAGCCTGTGGATTGACATGTGGCATGCCGTTGAAAAGTCTTTATTTTTTAAAATCTTTGTCACAGCTGCGGCTGCGGCTACTGCTTTTTCGTCAAGAAGCGCGTGCGATAACAAAGCAAGTGAGGAACTTAAACGCAATCGCTTTTGACATTGAATGAGATGACTTCAAGCATGACAAAAGCTGCCTGCTGTGTAAGCACCAGCTGCCTCATTAAATATGAATTAAAACCTCGAAAACCAAATGAGGTTCTAATAAAACTTGAGTTTTGAGAGGAGCTTCGATATTGCCCTAAGTTCACTTAGCCATTAATTAAATATATAAACGAAAGCATGCTTATCTTGGGAAAGCCGAACATTACATACCCTTGAAGGCAATAGTTAATCTGCTTTTTCTTTTAATTCCTGCTGTGGGAATTGAGAATTGGCTTGCCTTCTGATACAAAATATATATACTTTATGGTGTTGAAAAAGAAAATTCTAATGGGTATAAGAATATATAAATTGAAATTAGTGATAGAGGGAAAAATAATAATTAAGTTAATTTGATAGCAATCAAAATTTAAAGCAAAACAAAAGCTACGTGCTGCAAAACTTAAATATATAAAATTCAAATAACACGAAAAACTGTAGTTTTAAACAGTATTAAAATAGGAATACGACCGAATTCTATTGATCTTCATGAGATGTCATTACCCTTGATATATTCCGTTATTGATTTAATCGGTTGTCAGAAATTCGAAATCGTGATAAACCAAAACAAATGGCAAACAACTGAGGGAAACCCATTTAATGAGTTAATGATTTAATATCCTGAGACGAGGTGCGATTCTAATCAAAATTGAAATGTGACAGCAGCTTTAGCACAAACAACGATGGATTTAACAATTATAGCGGTTAATATTGTAAGTCACATGAGAAATAAAAATAAGCTGTACTTTTAATCGATTTCATTGGCAGCTAATGAAGCTTTGAAAGCAATCTACATAATTTATGGATCTCTACGTTTGTTGTTTATAATCAAGAAATTCAATGCACAAGATAAATGATTATTGAATACACACAGACACACACACACACACACACACACACACACGCACAACAATTTGTGCGCAACAAATTTAGCGCATTGTTTTCAAATATTTCAACGAATTGTTCAATGCCCAAAAATTAAATCGATTTGTATTATGCCCCACTTGCAACATACTCGAATACGAGCACCTCTCTCCAACTCGATGGCGATTTCAATTACATTTCATTTGGCCTCAACTTGTTCACAGGTGTGAATTATATTCTGAAGAGGTTTTTTTTCTTCTCCTTTTTATTTTTTGGTAATGAAATAACCATAAATCATTGCACAAATGAAGTTCAACATTTTAGATTTTGTTGTGCGTTGCGAGAGCAGCAACAACCAACCAACCCTCACTTCCATATTTTATTCTCTCTTATTGTAAAGTGTAACATTGATTAAGCATTATTAGCGTTTATTGTTGTTGTTGTTCTATTCTATTCTCTGGCACATTTTATGGTCCATTGTAGACACACTGGCCGCATTGGTGTGTTCGTTTTGGTTGTTTTTGTGCTCGCTCAGTGGGACACTTTCCATCATCAACACTTTGGAATGATGGAACGATTCGTTGGCCAGCTCTGGCAGCCCAATCCCCAGCCCCTACAATATGCGCCTGCGCCATTTGGGGGGCCTCACACAATAAGACCGAGCACATATATTGATGTATATGTATGCATGTCGGTTTGTTGTTGTTCTTGTTGTTGTTGCAGTTGTTGTTCGATGTAAATCAAAATTGATTTGCTTTATAACATGAGGTAATGAAGTTTTTTAATGAACTGCTGGACCCGAAAACGGTTAGAAACGATGTGTATACTATATAAAATGGCTTTATAATATGCCATGACAGGAAAATGCTGTACAAATTTATAAAGAAAATCATAAAAAGATATAATAATAAAAAACTTATTTTATATGTCTGAATTTGGCTTCAACGTTGCCTTGGTAATGAGTAACTCAAACATAAAGATTATAGATCTCACAATACCTGTTGAATACTCATTTTAAGGTATTTCTAGCTTATTTCCAGTAAAACTAATGTATTTTTTATGCAATTCTTAAGTCATTTTTCAATTTGAAAAGTAACCCTTAAAACTCTTGTGAAACTATATAAAAAAAAGTGAAGCCTTTTCAGCAAACAATTTGCATCTAAGCATAAAATATGATTAAAATAACATAATCGAATTATACAGTTATATAGATGATAGATTTTACAGCCCCTATTGAACACTAATTTTAAGATTTTCCTAGCCAATAAAATAAACTCTTTATAACGCAAACATTTTAAGAAAATTGTAGATTTTTAGTAAGCCATTTATCAGTTTGAAAAGTAACCCTTTAAACTACTCTAAAAGAAAAATGTGAAATGCGCTTTTCCTCTAATATATCATTGCAAAGTGCTGAATGAAAATAAAAAGCATTTACCAGCTCTGCCAAAAATGTGACAAAACAAATAATTTTCAAATGAAAGAGTGCCCAAGGAAACAAAAAAGAGACGTCGACAGGAGCAGTTGCACGAAACTGCCATTAGGCAAGGCGACGGACAGAAGTTGGCAGAACGGCAAGCGGCCAATAAAATTGCAGGGGAAATGGCCATAAGCACTGCGAATGGCTCGAAAGGACCACCGTTGAACTCAGTTGGCCAAATGCGCTACCAACAAAAGCAAGTCAGCTCGAAAAAAATATTTATGTGGAAAATTGATTTTGCGGTAGCCGGAGTAATAAATGTTTTGCCCAAATGCTAAACACAAATTCAACACGAAAAGGGGTGAGCGACAAGGGGACGGGGCAGACAAATCAACTGGACAACATGGCAACTGGACAAGTGGACAAGTGGGCAACTGAGCAACTGGGCAACTGGATTTGCAGTCTTGCGCACTCCATGGAAAACCTTTGACAAAGTGAAATATATGAACGGCAACAACAGCAACAACAGCAACAACAACAACACAAACAGCAGCAACAGCAACAACAAGCAGGACACAGGACACATGGCTCAGAACGAGAACCAAGTGGCCGAGACTGCCACAGCAAAAATATGATGACATATCGCGTCATAGTTCAAACGGCAGGGAATCCTCTGATCAATTTTGTACACAGCAAGACGCCATCTTTTTGGAACCATTGCACGAGCTTGGACTTTTTAATACCCAGCACACAGAACACTGTTTAGAATTGCTCAAATTGTAGCTAACAAACATCAAATTATATAGAAACCAGAGTTGCTTTTAATACGA